ATACAATCATCTTCATCGCCGTCGTTTCCGTGTCCTTTTCGACCACCGTTCACACTTCTCATGAGATTTGTTATGAAGAGAGAGAGAGAAAAGAAGATGAGAAATGTGCAGAAAGAAAAGAGGAGAAACAAAGAGAATTGATAATAATGTGTTGAGGGTACTATTGTCTTTTGTATGCATACAGTAAATACCAAATAGTATCGATGAGAGAGAACTAATTATTAAGTCCTCTGTGGTCATGTCTTATAGATACCCAAAATTCTACATATTTATTATTTGTTTGTTAATTGGATAATAGTAATTCCATTTTTTCTTCTCTTTAATGACAAATAAAAGTAATAATGATGTTAATACAAAACATCAATTTTTATGGAATAAGAATTAAAAAAAAAAAAAAAAACTCAAAACATCAATCTATGGGGAATAGAGGGAGTATATTATTGTTGCACATGTCCAAAATTTATAATATTCCAAAATTCGAAGGAAAATAATACGTAAATAGTATAAATGGGGAAAAAAATTTAAAAGTGTGAATATAATAAAGGGCTATATTAATTTAAAACCACAATTGACCAAAAAATTAAGAATATACTCATAGTTTTTATATTATTAGTTTTCTCTCCTCAACTTCTGTAAGTTGGACCAAAATGCCCCTCAGCATATAACAAATTAGTTAACAATATAATAAAATAGTTATCGACGTTTCTTATTTGATTCTGAATAGATTGTCCGTCAAATATCTGAGTAAGAATATATGATGAGTTAAATGATAATCTATTGGTTTAGCACGATAACAAAATATATATCAATAAGTTTATAAATATATCGTGTTAAAATATATTGTATCGCGATAAGTTTATAATTGATATGATAAAGTTTATATTATCATAGAAAATATTTATGGTAAGATAGTAAATATATAGATAATATTTATATTAACGTGTATAACGATGTTAACATGATAAAAATAAAAGTAACATGTGTTACTTTAGTTCTGTTCACCGACGAGCAAACCCAGAAAACAACATAATTAAGTTTTTTGGCTGCCACTGTCAAATCTTCAATCATCACAGCTCCTCCGTCCCTATCTTCATCTCAACTCACCACTCCATTTGATCTAACTTCACGACACTGTCGCTTTCTCCGACGTAGTTACCGTAACCGATATAATTATCACCACTACCGATAGAATCATCACCACCACCACCATCGGAACCATTAACACGTACAATCATTTATGTCATTTAGTCATTGCTCTTGCCAGAAAACTTAGCCATATACAATCATCTTCATCGTCGTTGTTTCCGTTTCCTTCTCGACACCGTTTATTTCTCATGAGCTGAGCAATGAAGGGAGAGAAAAGAAGATGAGAAAAGTGTGTAAGGATAATAAAGTAACTTTATCTGCTCTTTTACTGTAGAAATAGTGATCAATTCGTCCACCTAATTTTGTAGTCTTCTGTGGTCAGTTATTGTAGATACCCTATAATAAAATGGGCGAAAGTGATATAAAAAGGTTAGAAAAATAGGAATGGTAAGAAAATTGAGAATCTAATTATAATTAAAACTAATCCTTTTAATCATGCATGCATAAGAACTCTATTGGACATATGTGTCTATGATAATTCATAAGAATATCGCATAGAAGTTAATGATCTACTATATCTATTTCTGAAAACACATGTCCCAAATCTGAAAAGGAAGAAAATACGTCAAAAAGCTGACCAATTTCAATAGAAAGAGTAAATGATTGGTATATTCAAAATTTGATAGAAAAACGCAGATATTAAAACAAATTTTTTCTTAACTCTTGTATATAAATGTTAACAAATATTTTATCATTGCATGTAGTTATATAAATGTTTTGGTCAAAACTGATTTTAATTTATGAATTTTGCCTTTTTAAGGGGTGGATAAATCTTGGATTCTAAATATTCCGTGGTCAAAAGACTTGGATTTCTCTCTAAATATAGAGGAAAGTACTTATCGTCTCCTAAACCATCACCACTACAAATACCCTTTTGTGTCTCCATCAAATTACATCTTTTCCTAGACATTCTCTCTCGATCTTTAGTTTTCACAACTCATCTTCTTTTTTACTTTTTTTTTTTTTCTGAAGATGACTATCTCCGTCGAAAACCCTGTTTTTGGTAAAACATTTATCTTCTTTTGGTTAATCTTTTTTTTTTAATATAAATTTATCATGATTTTATGTGAAAATAATAGCTTTTGTTACTTTTTTGTTTTGTTTAAGTACATGAGGACTCTACGACACAGAAGAAGACCGGAGAGTTACGAATGGACAGCGGAATACCAATGTCGAAGATATCATCTAATGATGAAGTGTTTTTGGCTCCTGAGATGAACGCATTTGGTCGTCAATTCAGGTTCATTTTTTCAAAAAATAATTTAGACGATTTCTATAATTAATAATTTCTTTTTCTAAAACAGTTAGATTTGATTGATGTAAATTAATGTTGCAGAGACTACACGGATACAAATAGCGAGAGGCAAAAGAGCGTCGAACATTTCTATAAAACACAACACATTAACCAAAGTTTGGACTTTGTAAGATCTCTTATCTATTACTAAATTTGGGTTTATTATATATGTAAATATATGATCAACATAATAGTTGAGTCGTCATATATATTTTGCATTGGACGTGATTTATGAACTACTAATGAAATTGAAAATCGTTCCTAACCATGTTAGCCAAAATGAACATATGATACATATTTGAGTATTGTTGTTTCTCATATTTATTAAAAAAAAAGTAATGTTATAAACTTAATCAAACGTTTGCAGGTAAAGAAAATGAGAAGTGAGTATGGAAAATTGGACAAGATGGTGATGAACATTTGGGAATGTTGTGAACTTTTAAACGAAGTGGTGGACGAGAGTGATCCCGACCTCGACGAACCACAAATTCAACATTTGCTTCAATCTGCGGAAGCAATCCGTAAAGATTATCCAAACGAAGATTGGCTTCACCTCACTGCTCTTATCCATGGTAACTAATCGTTATTTATGACAAAAAAAAAAATCATGCTTATTATGGCTATACTTAATAATTACAAATCAAAATTATCATATACTATAAGAATCCTAAGAATTACTAAAATCAAATGACTGAATGTCCAGATCTTGGGAAGGTTCTTACTCTACCACAGTTTGGAGGGCTTCCTCAATGGGCTGTTGTTGGTAAGTTTAATTTGTGATTTCATTTCAATTATGGAATATAATCAATTAATCTAAAAAAAAATAAAATAAAAAATCAATTAATCTTGTTTTCTCTGTTAGTAAACTTATCAATTTTAAGTAACTTATGAATTCTCTATCCAAACTGCAGGTGACACATTTCCTGTTGGGTGTGCATTTGATGAATCTAACGTACACCACAAGGTACATATAACTGATCATCAATATATTTTGATTAATATTTACGAATATATTGATAGTTAGAATCTATATTTGATTAATATTTACGAAACAAGTAATTATATAATATAATTTTTTTCCTTTTTAACCTTGATTTGCAGTATTTTATGGAAAACGCTGATTTTAACAATCCAAAGTATAATACCAAAACTGGAATTTATTCTGAAGGATGTGGACTTGAGAATGTTCTTATGTCATGGGGACATGATGACTACATGTATCTGGTAAATTCATTAATTCATTACTATAATTTATGAACTGTAATAATTATGTTTACAATGATTTAAAAATGGTTAATAATATGTTTATAGGTGGCTAAGGAGAATGGAAGCACCCTACCATCCTCGGGACTATTCATCATCCGATACCATTCCTTTTATCGTAAGCACAATAAAGACTATTAACGAACTAAACACTTAATTAGTAACATAATCTGATTGATTAATTAAACATTTATATGTGGTTAATGTATGTAGCATTGCACAAGGCTGGAGCTTACACTCACCTTATGAACGAAGAAGACAAGGAAAATCTCAAATGGCTCCATGTTTTCAAGTAATTAATTTATTTCTCTAAATAAAAATCTTTCTTAATTAATTAAACCCGATTCTTACCCCAATTTATATTGTCTGTTTTATTATATAGCAAGTACGACTTATACAGCAAGAGCAAAGTACACGTGGATGTCGAGAAGGTTAAGCCGTACTACATGTCTCTTATCAAGAAAGTGAGGATCTTTACCATTTGATTTATTTTTGTATGTAGATTTATTTCTTAATTTTACAACTTAATAATTTTGTTTGGGATTTTTTTCAGTATTTCCCGGAAAATCTGAGGTGGTGAAAACTGCATCAAGGCCGTCCAAAAAAGTCTACTATTAGAAAGATAAAAATGGTGTACGTGTGTGAGTGTGATTGATTAGTAGTCGTTTAAGAACTGGAAAGCATTATTGCCCAGTTGATAAAGTTGTATTGTTACATTAGCTAATGTTAATGCTAATGTTTATACAAACTATTATTGTATCCGTCTGTCCTACTATAAATTAAAATAATATTTTCTTCTCTTATCTTTTGACTTCTGTTTTGAAAATTTCATAATGTATCGTTTATTTTTTTATTTTTTTATTTTTTTTTTAATGTATCGTTTATTTGTTTGTCTTTCTTATTTGCGTCAAGAGTTTGAGAAATTTAGATATTTATAACTAGCCTTATTCGATGGTCTAGTTATCGAAAAATTTAACTTCCTCATTCTTTAAAAAATCAGATACAAGTTTCTTTAAAAGTATTTATGCAATCTCTCTTGCATCCTATTTTCTTAGTTTTACACTATCTTTATCAATGGGTTCTTAAAAAAATCTTAAAATGTTCTTAGTAATTTTTTAGTATTATTACTAAGAACCAAAGTTAAGATTTACCTCTTTTTGGCTCTTAGGTAAGCAACTCCCTCAACTCATCTTAACATTGGTTCTTAGTAATAATACTAAAAAATTACTAAGATTTTCTTAAGAACCCATTGATAATAATTTAGTGTGAAAAAACATAAACAATAACAAAGATAGGATCAACGTAACGAAGATAACTTCATTCATTCATTCAGATGTGGAAAATGCAAAGAGGGTTACAAAACTAAACATCTAGAAAGAAAACTAAAATTCGTGTTTTGTGTTATGCCAACAAAAGGGCAAAATTGTTAAGATAACAATTATTTCACTTTCGCCGAAAACGGCATCGTTTGCAGAAACCCCTGAGTAAATAAATATATTTGCCATTATGCCCTGCAACTTCTTCACTTGGTGACTTCTTTAGTCACAGGAGGAATATCGACAGCTCCGTCGTCAAGAAGCGGTGTTTCCGGCAACTCTTTCTTCTCTTCAGGTATATCCTTAGGCCCCAAGAAACTTGGCTGGTTCGTAGAAGACAATAACCTTGCCCACATTCTATCCGTAATTACTACATTGTTCTGTGTCTCTGTTATCCTCTGCAACAGAAAGACAACCAAAAAGAATGACACGATTCAGAATTGCTCACAAGTATAGGACCAAAGGTTTAGAGAAGATTCAGGACCGTTCCGCAAGACCAAGGGAACAGATTAGCCCAATGTAAGGTCTTTAATCACAATTGGGATCAATCCCGCAAGTCAAAACTCGGATTAAAAAACGAAAACACATTTGATATGTCAGTAACTTACGTAGTAAGGGATGTATGTTTGTCTTCCATTGACAAGACCACTGGTGTAGCCAGTGTAACCAGCCATTGCACCATGAACCGCGCTCTGAGCAAGAAGTGTACAGTAAACATTGTCTGATGCATTACTTGGAACAGCCCGGATCATGTATGTAGGATCAATGTATTTGAGATTCATCACCATTTTATTCTTATTAAAATAATCCTACAACCAGAGGAAAAAAACAACAAACACTATGAGGAAATTTTCTGTAAAAGGCATAAGACTATCATGATCTTGAAAGTTTTAAGTCTTACCTTGATGCTTTGTGATAGCCACAAGCCGACATCTTTAAGAAGTTTGTTCCCAGAAGCATCCTTAAGAGTAGATTCCATGCTTTTGCACATCAAATCCTGTCCTGCACCTTCAGCAAGAACAATCACCATGTGACCATTCTCCTTGAGCCGTCTCTCTACGAACTCAAAGAGTCCACCTTCTCCTTCGAGGTAAAATGGTGACTCAGGAATCAAGCAACAGTCAACATCTCTGCTGGCTAATGTAGCATACATCGCTATGAACCCTGTAGTAAATCACCGCGTAGACTTCATCAGTAACAAATCGAAAAGGTTTTTTAAGTTGTATGTTTCAAAACAAAAACTTACCGCTGTAACGACCCATAAGCTTGACAAAACCAATACCATTCTCATTACTCTCGGCTTCAACATGTGCTGCGTTAATCGCTCGTTGAGCTTCCTCCACAGCAGTGTCAAACCCAAAAGATTTATCTATTACCGGAATATCATTATCAATAGTTTTCGGAATTCCAACCACAGCAACTTTAAGTCCACGTCTTCTGATTTCCTTCATGGTTATATACAATCTAAGTTCAGTTGTTGATTGTTAAAACTTACAACCGTTATTCTGAAATATCACAATGGCATTACCTCAAATATTACTGAAGCACCTCGCTGGGTTCCATCTCCTCCAATAATGTAAACCTAAATGATAACAGATACTACATTAAGAATAGGTTGACAAACTTTATTATATACGATGTTAAAAGCAGTGACTGTGTTTCTTCCCGGACCTGATTAATGCCACGATCTTGAATGCTATCAACTATCTTCGTGGTATCGTGTCCACCTCTTGAGGTCCCAAGGATTGTTCCTCCGCGTTTATGGATATCATTCACGACTTTAGAGTTTAAGGGGATAGTATTCTTGGCGTAGAATCCTCTATATCCACCCTGTAAGATTTCAACAAATGAAACCATAAGGGCAATAGTCGCAAAAATTAAACTGCAAATGAAGAGATGAATTATGATTCACCAAACTTACATCGATTCCAAGGATTCTCTTCACTCCATACATGTATGATAAGCTGCTCACAATTTCTCTAATCACGGTATTGAGTCCGGGACAGAGACCTCCACATGTAACTATGCAAGCATGCACTTCATCAGACTCAAAGTAAACCTTTTGACGAGGACCAGCGCGTCTGAAATGGATTCCTCTAGGACCATCCTTGTGAACCACAACCTGAATAACACGAAAACAGTGGAAAGAAAAAGAGAACATTTTGCTGTTAAGATCTCACTTTCAGCAAGAGATAATCATCAAACACTATTCTTCAGACAATTCCAGGTAAAAAGGGATTATGCTTGATGTCTTACCTTCTCAGGGACACTATCATCTGCATCAACAAAGTATTGCCTGAGAAAAGAAAAACAAAAAAACATCCAAATGAGAACAAAAACTATGAACTTTAAACAACGGAAACGTCTGAAATACGTGAAGATACTTACTTGACCACTGAGTAAGCTGGATTGTCTTGCAATGGATTCGGATAAGTCTGCAAAAGCATCAAAAACGTGAAAAGAATCAAAACATTGAAACCCAAAGCTAAAGATTCCTCCTTTGTTAACTAAACGCTATCAGATTCGATCTCTTTGTGTAAATCGAGAAATTTTCAAAACAATTTAGTAACAATCAGAGATCAAGTACAACATACAGGAAGATCAGGAAGATAATCAATGAGATGAGGAACGTCTTGTAGAATATAACCACCAGGACCGTTGACGATCTTCGGCTTGTTACTTCTCGGACTAGACATAACGGAGACGATCAACAAATCAGATCAAAAACTCTCTCCACGAAGATGAAATCTCGAACACAGCTTCTAAATCCGTCAATGAGAAAGAAAAAAAAAACCAAACTTTCAAACGAAGAAGGAAAATGAGAAATCGTGAATCAAACCCTTTGATCCAATATACTTGATGACCCAATTTTGTAGGGGAAACAACAAATCAGAAAAGGTAAGAGACAGAGTGAGAGACCAATAGAGACGAAGAAAGTTCTGGCTTTCTGAGATGGGGAAATTGATCGAACAGGTGGTGGGCATTAAACGTATTTGAAGAAAATTTAGTGAAAAAAAGAGAATATTTTTATATACATACACACACTTACATGTATGTATATGTTAATTGGGTACAAGATTCTCGTGTATATATATATATAAAGCTGACGATCACGGAGGCAAAAAAAAAAAAAAACGAACGTTGAAACTTGGAGAAGATGATTCACATTCTTCTAGAACAAGACTTTATTTTAAGTTTCCATTTATTGACATCGATTAATTTTGGGCCTTGGAAAACAAGTTCTCAATTTTAATATGATTATTTTTGCTTTTTTTGAGATATTTCACAATTTCAGATCCTGAGGAATATTCCGGTAATCAAAAAAGAAGAAGAAAGAAGAATCTTTTAAAAATATAAAGACAAATCCAATTTTGTGTCGGCTGATATCTATTTTATGTTTAGTGTGTATTAGTTTAATAGTGTTTCATTGATTTGCCGATTTTTGTTGTCAAGCAACTATTTGCTGGTGACAAAGAGATAACAATATATAATAATTTTAAAAATGAAAATAAGAGTTGACGAAAAGCTTATTAGTGTATAATGCTATCAGATGACATACTTGCTTAGTCGTTTTACATTAAAAAAGGGATATATACAGGCCCGGCCCCACAATAAAAGAAAAGTTTTAGGGCCACATTTGTAAAATATTTCCTTAGGCTGGTGGTTATGTATTTAGTATATTAGGGTCGCTTCTCAGGTTCGAATCCCATCTGCTATAGGTTTTTTTTTTTTTTTTTTTTTTACAGACTTACAGTTTTTGTTTTGTTTTATAACTAAGTTAAAAGTATTAGTATAATATTTTTTTTAGAAATCTTTCACGAAGAACACCGTCTCCGATCATTGCCGCTGTTAGGTAAGAAACTGTTGCTGCTGTTGGGTAATTCTTGTCCTTAATCCTTCTAATATTGTCATCAATTGTTTTGAATTATTATCATATCAAAGGTTATGTTTTGACTTTTGAAAGTAACGAATGCAATTGGAGATTAGGGATTGCAATTTGCAAAAGTCAAAATCATGTCGTGATGGTGACGGTGACTTTGTCACTTAATTTTATATTTTAGTTTTGTACTTAAGTGTTTGGATTGAATTTGAAAACTTTGTTGTGACTATAATTATATGTTTTGTTATTTTTGGAGACGATGCCTCCAATTTGCACCAGAAAACAGGCTCATGTCATGGTTATGAAAAAAGACAAAAAAAAAAAAGGGAAGAAAAATCAACTAAATCTCAAACTAATGACATGCTCAAGTATGTTACGGTAACGAAAAATTCCAGAACTGATGATGTTGTTGTTGAAGATGAGATAAACGAGGTTGGCGATGAAAATCATGCTTTTGAAGATGTTGAGGATGTTGAGAAAGAGTTTCACACTGACGGCCGACATGGAAACGTTTGTATGGATGAGAACATGGAACAACATGAGAATAAAGATTCGAGAGACACCCAAAATCAACACAAGTATGTGGATATTCATGATCCAGGAAACTGGAAAAAGATTAGACAAAATTAACAATTTAAAAAAAAAAAAATTATACTATGCTTTAGGCCACACAAATCCTAGGACCGGGCCCGGGCCTGGATATATATATATATATATATATATATATATATATATATATATATGTGATAAATATATATATTTTTGAAAACAGCTTGCGTAATGGTAAATACGTAATCGTATGAATCTTCATAATGTAGAAAAATAATTGCCGGTCGATTTCGAATCAGAATCAAAGTAGCAAAGTTGTAATAAAACTTGTCGTTATTTTCTGTTTCTTTAATATGACTCTCTCTCGCTAATCTCTCGCAAAAAAATAAAAATTGTAGTTACCTACACATATTAAATATTTGTTTTTCGTAAATTAAACGTTACATGTAGTTTTTTTTGCCGCAAGAAAAGAAATGTATTTACAGTTGGATATGAAAATTATTTCTGAAAAAGAAATGGAAATTATTGATCGATCTTCTGCATTAGGTCGGATATGATATCAAATTTCTGAAAAACGAACAAAATGAAGCTAAAATGGGCGATTGTGAAAGCCCAGTTATAGGTTGATAAATAGGCCATTTCTTTGGCCCGTTATTCAATTCATAAGGCCACTAGCCAAGTTTTAGAAGCAAAAGTTGAAAAAATAGCACTTCGTTTTTGAGTGATTACAACACCAAACTAATAGTTTGTGTCAAAAATCAAAATATAAATATTTGCTAGATAACGGACTAGTGAAAATATCATGGTTTATTTATTTACTACACACCATTAATTGTTTTCTACTGTATTTTATAAATTAATGTATATTATGAAACACTAAACAAAAAATTAAAAATGTGTCAATGTGTGTTTTCATACTAAATTAAATAAGCACATTATTGCTCGACACTCGTATCAATTTTTTTTAAAAAAGTCATATATACCCAAATAAAGGATGTTTAATGTTTACTCTCTTTTTTTTCCTCTTTTCAAAGAAAAACAGCAGAAAAAAATACGAAACCTAATACTAATCATTTAGATCAAATAAATGATGACCGTTTGATCTGTTGTTCAAACAAATCTGAGGGTAGGCCTCATCTCCCGACATCATCATTGGACCCACATCAATGTAGGACCACTGGGTTCAAAGCCCCCAAGAATATTATTACATACTATACTATATGTTTCCTATTTCAAATAATGTGGAAGAAAGTAAAAAGAAAAAGATTCTTAAAAACATGTGTTTGCCTTATAATCCAAAAAGATTATCCTTAAATGCTTTGTTTCCTATGTTATGATGCGTTCTTTTTTTTTTTTTAACGTTTGGATTTATTATTTATTGCAAATTATGAAAACTGTTACATAGAGGATTCTACAACGGACAATTCCTTCCGATCCTTATTAGATCCACGACAGACGACACGACGACACCTTCTTCACCTTCTTCTTCATACTCACCTCCTTCACCTCCTTCTTTATGCTCTTGATTGACACTTCCCCTCTGCGTAGAATCCTGGCGAACGGCTATAATTGTACATCGCTGGAGATCTCCTGCACACTTGCATCCAATAATCTGCAAATTTATTAATAAATCGCAGTATCTGGGACTCGAACCCCAGACCTCTGGATGTAGAAGCATTAATTAACCCTTGTTCAACCAATGGGTCAAAGGGGCTTCCACAACGATCATTCATTAAAATAATAATATGCTTCTGCTAAATTAACCCGTAATTATGTTCAAATATACAAAAGATTAGAGAAGGTAACAAATTTTATATTATTAAAATGTATGTAAGAAATATTAAGATAAAAAGTAAATTAATCAAAACTTGGTGCAGTGTGTTCTGTTTTCTAAATAGCTCCTCTTTATTTTAAACACAAGACCGAGATTCAGCAGTTAATAAAAGCACAAGATAATTTAAAATTAGATTTTAATCTTTTTGATAAAAGAAGGCTTTACATCTTTGACTACATTTAAAACTTCAATCAATATATTATTCGTAATTTTCTCATATTGCTCAAGAAAAATGTTTGACATAGTTAGCTGTGTACTACTGATATTGTCTGTACAACAGTACAAATTAAAGCCTATCACTACAAAAAAAAAAATCATATTAAATCACTTAAATTGTATCACTTCACTAAATGATACTCGTATTTTGAATCATTTATTTATAAATGATGTGTTTTAGCATCAATTATATACTAAGTAATGTTATAATTAATTAGTTTGGCATCAATTATATAAAACTGATTTAAAAGCTATTATTTCGTATCACTTTTTAAAAACTGATAGTAAATATTAATACACCTTATATAACTAAGAAAATATAAAACGAAAAGAAAATAAATAAAAGGTTTGGTCAAGAGACTGAAGAGTCGCACAAGACAAGAGAGAGTAAAATTAGGGTTTTAACCTTTTCAGTCTCAACTCCTTTTCTTTCCTTTACTCTTCGTCTTCCTCATTTCTTCTTCGTTTCTTTATCTACTTTGACATAGATTTTTCAGTACTTAAAGTCGTATCTACATGTGTTTCTGTATCTCTTCTGGAACCAAAGACAGATATTAACAACAATTATTTTAATAATAAAAAGCATAAATCATAGGTTATTAATTTTTCTCTACTATATATATTGAGATCACTCCCGTCTTTATCAAATTCTTCGTTCTCTTCCATTTTTCCAACCCAATCAATCTCACGTAGATCTGGTAATCTTGATATTTGTTTTTACTTCTTCTTTTCTATTGTCATGTTTTTAAATTGTTTATGTGTTCATTAATCTCTAGCTCTATATATGTATATTAATGACATCAACTCATCTTATCAATTTCTTTCTTTTAGCTTTTATTCAGTAGATCTCTTACTGGCATACATATCTAAAAACCTTTATAGGATTTACTAACTATTTTTGTCTTTTTATTTTATGCTTTGAATCGTGTTTATATTTGCATCGAGCAATATCTTTGAAAACTTTACTTTTTTTTCATAAACTGCAGATCAATTTCTCATCAATCATTTAGCGATCAAAAGGAAATGAAGAATAGTAAATGTAACCTCATAGATTCAAAGCTCGAAGAACATCATCATCTTTGCGGATCAAAACATTGTCCTGGATGTGGTCGCATGATTCAAGCTGCTACTAAACCAGTAATATTCCGTTACACCTATAGACATATATAAGTATATAACCTCATCAAAACCCCCAAGAATAAAAATAATTAAAGGATATCCTGTCACTTTTTTCTTTCCTTCTTTAAAATTGTTCTTCTTCACTAATAAGCCTTCTTTTTTTTTCTTTTCTTTTATAAAGAATTGGGTTGGATTGCCAGCTGGAGTGAAATTCGATCCGACAGATCAAGAACTTATAGAACATTTAGAAGCAAAAGTGAAGGGAAAAGAAGAAAATAAGAAATGGTCATCGTCTCATCCACTTATAGATGAATTTATTCCCACCATTGATGGAGAAGATGGGATATGTTACACTCATCCTCAGAAGCTTCCAGGTTCATTTCTATTCTTTAAATACAAAGTACACCAAACTCTATATGATCTGCATGTACGGTAGTACAAATGAATATTTATTGTTTGATATTTGAAAGTTAAGGAGATACTGTAAAATATTTTGTTAGGCAATTTTAAAATCACCACTATTTCGCATACTATATATATATATATATATATATATATATATATATATATATAATTAATTACCCTTAATTTTGCACAAATAATAAAAATCAATGTACGTAGTTACCCCTTTAAAAATAAGTTCTCTTATTAATCATCAACTAAAAGGAGAAATAATTAATTTCTTTTGAAACATCCTACATTGAATCGATATTTTTAGTGTAACAAAAGAAAATTAAAGACGTATAAAACTTTTCTACGAAACTTCTTACAAAAAATGCGATCCGTTTTAATTTTTTTTTTTTTTTGAACACCATCGTTTTTAGTTAATCTAAAAAGATTAATAACATAACTGATCGACTCTCTGCTTAATTGCTTTTTATTAGATAACTTCTTAGTTCATACATACTCTAATATATTTATGAATAGGTACTAAACTGTGCATGTAAGTATAATAATATTGGGATCTTGGATAATGTTTGGTGACCCAACTTTGAAAAACAAGTTTCCTCATAAATAATAACTTGTTCATCTTACATTAATTTTCTAGAAATTCAACTCAAAATTATATTTATTTTTTCTTGCAATTAAGGGGTGACAAGAGATGGCTTGAGCAAACACTTCTTCCACAAACCATCAAGAGCTTACACAACCGGAACAAGGAAACGACGTAAAATAATCCAAACCGATCACGACTCCGAGGTAACCGGATCATCAGAAACCAGGTGGCACAAAACGGGCAAAACAAGACCGGTTATGATCAATGATGCATTACATGCACTCAATAAAGTCTTGAATATATAAATTTAAGGTGTGTCAACTGACCCACCTTCCTCCAACGTGGGTCCGCCAATGGCTTGAGCAAACACTTCTTCCACAAACCATCAAGAGCTTACACAACCGGAACAAGGAAACGACGTAAAATAATCCAAACCGATCACGACTCCGAGGTAACCGGATCATCAGAAACCAGGTGGCACAAAACGGGCAAAACAAGACCGGTTATGATCAATGGTCAACAAAGAGGATGCAAGAAGATATTAGTACTCTACACAAACTTCGGCAAGAATCGACGACCGGAGAAAACAAATTGGGTGATGCATCAATATCATTTAGGCATCAATGAGGAAGAGAGAGAAGGAGAGCTTGTGGTCTCTAAGATCTTTTATCAGACACAACCTAGACAGTGTGTTAGTAATATTCATTGGTCTGATAATCATGGTTCCAAAGACATGATCGGAATTGGTGTCGGAGATGAGATTTCCGTAGCTGCCACGTTGCAGACTCTTGGCTCCGGTGTCGGTGACATTGTTTCTAGGGTTAATATGAATCCCTATACAAGAGGCTTTGATGAGGTATTTATAATTTCTTCCCCCTTACAATACTATAATATATAGTATGATAGTATGAAATATCTTCAAAACATAGTCAGTTTCATTTTACAAAATCTACAACTTTTTCCGGTTTTTGTCAGCTAATTATGTTTTTTTTTTCTAGCTGATACTATCTAGAGATAATTTGTCTTTATGTACCTATATAATAATAAAAAATTAGCGTGGATGTATAAGTTCATTTTATATGGTGCATATAAAGTACTTTTTTCTCTAATTTTACGATATTTTTTCCTCTAATGCTCAACTTTTACGTAAACTAAGTCTTACTATTGTATTGTCTTACTCTTTAACTCTTAATACAACAATGAGAGTTTTACAAAAAAAATTACCTTTTTGGTAACCAACATTTTTTTTGTGTGGTAATTAACATGTACGTAACCAAGGGGACATCCGAAGCTTCAAAGGGAAGAGAAAACCAGCGTGTGTATGGCACGTGCGAGGAAGTACATAATGAGATCTTAACATCATCAACATCATCAATGTCCTCTCATCATATGATTCATGATCATCATAATCAACATCATCAAATCGGAGATAGAAGAGATCTTCACATGTCATCATCATATCCCATGACCCCTACTATCACATCACGAAATGACTCGATCTTCCATGGTACAAGTACTATGCCCTTTCAGGTAATGTTTTCATTCACTAATTTTACTTAATAATCAAACAAAAAAAATTCATTCCTCCAAATTAGCTCAAATCTAAAGTCAATGCACGCGAACGTGCATGCATGGATATAGCTAGATAGTAGTGATATTAGTGTTTCTTGTCTAGTTGGACATTTAATTATAACCACTCATTTAAATAAAGACTAATGATTTTGGATCTACAGGCTCATGCAAAAAAGTAATTCATATATTACAATATCAATTAATTCCTTCTCATATTCGTTATAATTAATATTTTAATATTAGTATTCGTATTTTGATTGTTTTTCTAAATGAAAGCAGCAGCAATTGAGGGGTCGGTCGTCTGGTTCGGGATTAGAAGACCTAATTATGGGTTGTACCACAGCTACTTGCATAGAAGACGTAAGTTTCTAACGAATACGTGTATTTCTTATTAATTACATTCGTGATTGTTCTAACATAAGTTGTGTGTATTGGTCAATCTTTTGAATAAAACAAATGATATAATCACAAATAATTAAATTCGCAGGAGCATTCAACAGAAGCAAACCCACAGCAAAATGCAGAGTGGTTAACGTTTCCACCTTTCTGGTAGGACCAAAAAATCAAATTATATACATCATTAAAAAATTTGTATTCTAAACAATTGTTAACCAACAAGTCATTTTGTTATACTGTACTTAAAAGATGGATATTGCTAACCACCTAGACCGGACACAATTTCACAGGAACCAAGCCGAATCAGAAGATCAAAACCGGAGATTTTAACCGAACCAAAAGGAAGCAGAGAAGTCTTGTCAAAACACCTCCTGCTTAGATTTTGAGTTTTGATCGATTTTGGAATTACTGAGTTATGACTGACTTAGTCTTTGCCATTTAACTTACAATATCATCAGAGGTTGCGATGAATGCTGATTCGCTCAAAGGAGATTGTAATCTGTTAAATTCCTCAACAACCTATTTATACATGAAATCACAAGCATTCAGAAACAAATCCTAGACTCTCTGTATTAAAGAATCACACACACAAAAAGATCCTGTTTTCAGTTTCATTATATGATTGTATCTTTGGTGGAACATATAAAGGATCACGATTTACCTTCCTCTGTGAAGCGTGCAATAAAACCCGCGGTCTTATCGAGCGCACGTGTTCAAAAGCTGCAGCTACAGTCATACTCTTATGTTCAATCTGAAAACAAATAGAGAGAAAACGTTAGTGAGAAGGGAGTTCAATAAAGGACCAACTGCAAGTTTAATTTAACCGATATGATTTGATCAATGAACTTACCAGATAACAGAGAACAACAGTAGTACTTCTTCCGCGACCAGCTTTGCAATGGACATAGGTTGTTTTACCGAGCAAAGCATTCTCTGTTACAAAAAAGGAATGCATAATAAGCAACAGAAGGAGTAAATTCAAATAAGGGTAAAAGAGAGCACGGCATCACTTACTGTGAATGAAGTTTACAGCTCGGGTTATATCTGCAATCGAAGGAGCAAACAAGTAATCCCGTGTTGGTATCACTAGATGCTCCATTTCATAAGCCTAAAACAACTAGCAATCATCAAATACTCCACAAGTAGACAAAAAAAGATTTGAAACACAAGATTTGGTGGCATTGAACCTACATTGTACAAAGAGGATGGTACCAAAGTCTCATAAGGTTCATTAAGAGTAATCACGCCACCAACACCTAACTGTTTTAGTCGCGGAACATCCTTACGAAATGGAACCGCTCCCATCAAAAGAAACTGAACAAAAAGAAAGACTTTCTGCATCAGAAAAAAACGTTGCATAGACCAAATTGATACTCAGGGATTTGAGGAAAGAGCTCAAATTTCAATAGTTTGCTGCATAAACTATACAGACAGAAACAATTCTGACTTTAGAGAGTCTAAAAAAAACTGATCTTTAAACATCACATTGCCTCTTCTTTCGGATCAAAACATTCCAGTCAAAATTCAGATTCCTAATGCTAAAAAGTTATCTCCTTTAAATCTCATTAGCACTAAGTTAAAGGAAGAAATAACAAAAAAAAACAAAACCTCATCGATTTGATCCCACCATCTGAATTGAGACTGGAGTTTGAAGCGGACGAGGTTGTATAAAAGTGTCGGATAAAACAGGATCCGACCACCAGCTCCGATAAGAGCTCTCTTTGCTTTCTCTCCCTTAGAACCTACACTCTTCTTCTTCTTCTTTGAAACGCCGTCGTTTCGTGATGATCGCTGCTGCGTCGTGTCATCTTCCTCCGTTCCACCGGTCATCGCCGGGAAGAAGAAAAAGTGAGTTGGTCATATTTACAAAATCACCCTCCCTTATAAAAGAAACATATTAAGGCCCATTAAGATCTTTGTTTTTCTTTCTACCTTCAAAATCTTTTTTTTTTTCTTTCTAAAATCTTCCTTTATTTCATAATAAATCTGATTTTACCACTTAATATTTGTGTTTCAGAAAAAGTGTCAATTTATCTTTGTAAACAAAGATTTAAGTACTTAAATGTCATTTATTATGAAACATAAAGAGTATTTTTTTTACTCAATCTTTGAATATTGTTGTTGTTTTTAGATTAATACTCCTATTTTTTCCAATATTTATTGTAATAATGTGGTTCCAAACTTCTGTTTTAAAAAAAATATCATAGTGAAATCTTTAATAAAAAAATTACATACTCCATATAGGAAGATTGATGGTATTTATTAAAATCCTTTCATTTGATTGTTTAAACTAAAACTAAATTTAGTTTCATTCAATGTTAGAGCCAAAAAATCAACAAAATTAATTATTATGAAAAGGGAAAGACTTTTTAAGGAAAACGCCATATTTAATTTATTGTTTTTTCATTTTACTAACTCTAGTTTTCAATTTGTTATATATTTTCCTCTTTTTTCATTAAATTTTCTATACAATTGTTTTTATTAAAAAGAGTTGTACTGGCACGTGTCGATCATGTATAAATCTATATATTTGCGTAAATGCCACTGCCACAAACACACACTCGTAGTTTCGACGCTATCTCTAGAACATTCCGATAAACCACAAAGAAGCAGAGCAAAGTAAGAATAAGGACGAAGACGAAGATGTCGTGGCAGACTTACGTCGACGATCACTTGATGTGCGACGTTGAAGGAAATCGCCTCACCGCCGCCGCAATTCTCGGCCAAGACGGTAGCGTCTGGGCTCAGAGCAGCAATTTCCCTCAGGTTAGGGTTTATTTCTCTACCCAGTGCTCATTCTTAGTATCTATATTCGCTTTTGCTGTTTCTTTGGATCTCTGTTGAAATCTGCAACCTTTTTTTTTTGTTTAGCTAAAGCTACTGAATCACCAAAATTCAGCAATTTTCATGTTTGGTTTTGGTTTTCTGATTCATGTGTTCTTGAAGAAGTTCAATTCACGAGTTTAAAGCTCTTTTAGGCAGAAATTTGGTGACTTTTGAAATGGAGAACTTCTTTGTGGTTGAGTTTTGTTTCATGGTTTTTGTGGTTCTTTAAGAGTGAAGTGTTTACTGATATTAGTTGTTTAAGAAATGCTGTTTCTTATTAGTTTTGGATTTTTCAGCGTTTCAACTGGTTATGTAGTTCGTAGGTTGCTTTCATGAGATCTTTAAAAGAAACTGAATTTGCTTTGTTTCGGTATTTTTGTTATTTTAGTTGAAGCCTGAGGAAATTCAGGGCATCAAAGACGATTTTACTACACCTGGAACACTTGCCCCAACAGGATTGTTCCTTGGTGGCAACAAGTACATGGTAATCCAAGGAGAACCAAATGCCGTCATTCGAGGAAAGAAGGTAACTGGACTCTTTGATTTTTGATGAACCTTTTTTCACTGCTGCTTGTTTTTTATCAACTGATGTTGCTTTTGCTTCCATTGTAGGGAGCTGGTGGTGTTACCATCAAGAAGACCACCCAAGCTTTGGTCTTTGGTATTTATGAAGAACCAATGGCTCCTGGACAATGCAATATGGTCGTGGAGAGGCTCGGTGACTACCTGATTGAATCGGGGCTCTGAAACCCAAGCCGCTGCTATATTCATGTAATCTTACAGTTGTGTCGTGAGAGAAAAACTATTTATATATCGAAGGTGATCGATCATTCGATAGTCCGACTGTGTATTACTTACCATGTGATGGATCTTGGGGTTGTATGATTTCTAAAACAAGTATTGTCTCCATTTGTGTCGAGTTGAAATTTTAATGAATGGCAGTGTGGTACCATAGCTTTAGAGTTCATGAATAGTTATGCAAATTGAGATTTTTGTGAATTGTAGTGATGATGATTCAGATCACGAGACTATAAACACAATTGATTTCAGACAAGTTTCCAGATAGAATGTCTGTACAATGATTCCACTGCAGGAAGAAAGACAAAATCTTTAGACGGACACAATTCCTAGACCAAACTATTCAGGAACAAATTTTGCTTTTTCTTGCTATTGCTACATTCCTGCAAAAACACTGGCTCAAGTTTCTTTCAGATTCTGGTTACAGTGCCTGTGAATTCATAGTGTGCAAACTGAAGAACAACGAGATCATGAGACAGAGTTTCAAAATCCATCGGAGTGGTTCGTTTCCACTTGTAGTTGAAGCAGAGGAGGTCAATGCAGTTGCATTCGTCGCCTTGGTTTTGTTCCTGCAGAAAGATTTTAACAAATCAGTAAGAATATGTATGTATTGTTCTTCAGTTTGCAAATCTGAAACAACTAGCTCTATGACGTACCCTCCTGCAGTTATGTATATGCATTTGTCATAACCTGTAACAGCAATGAATCAGATTAAGGTAAGATCAAAACTGTTTATTTGTGATTTTGCAGAGTAAAAGCTGGAGATTTTGTTTACTTACTAGGGTCCTTGTTGACCTTAACACCAGCTCCTCCAAAGCTACAAGCAACGTCTGTTGCTCTATTCTGCTGGAAATAGCTATTGAACACGAAAGAAGCATGAGAAACCAAAGTATCTGGTTGGAAACAAGGCTGGCTCGGTTGAATAGCTGTGCAATCAACATTTCCAGGACCACAAGCCCAATCCAAAGCACCTTTCAGATCTCTCTCTGAAGCTTTAGAAGAAGCAATGCACCAGCTATTACTACTCCCACTCGAGTTTGTACCACTCGAATTCGAGTGAAACCCGTTGCTCTTTCCCGTGAAATCCAACTGATAAACGCTTGTCTGGTCAGGGTAGAACAATCCCCAGTTTCTCTCTGAATCTAAACCCGCTTTTCGATTCTCGTTGAACAATGAGAATATATAAACGTTCATCGCCTCTCCTGGTTTTGCAGGTGTGCCTTGGTTGGTAACCACATGATGGATTATGTTTGAATTGTATGTCTCCGCGTTGTCAGGAGACGCAGCAGCTTTCTCCTTCGGTGAACCTTTGGTTGGCCATCCAGTCTCGGTAACCATAATCTTGATTGTCCTGAAGTTTAAAGCCGTGAGAGCATAATAGAGAGCATCAACTTGAGCATCAAACATGTTCTTGTAAAGCAAACCCGTGTTCGGGTCAATCACTTCAGAGGAAGACTCAAACAACACATAATCCAAAGACACATTGTTTGGAGAGTCTCTATAAGCGTAATACGGATAAAGATCGATCATGAAAGGAGAATTATTCTCTGCAAGGAACTCTAACATTGGTCTCAAGAAATAAGCATAGCTGCTGTTAAATGCTCCAGCGGAAGGAGGGAAAGATCTAGAGAGGATCCCGAGCGAAAGAGTCGTCGAAACCTTGATTCTTCTACTCAAACCGACTTTCCTCAGAGCGGTTAACACATTCTGCATCGCGGGAACAACAAAAGATGAAGCATTGATGTGTGGATCATCAGTAGACTCAGCTCCAACGGTAATGTAAGTGATCTTGGTCGTTGGATAGTAAGGTAAGACGCTGTTCTTTAGCCAGGTGTCTACATTTGATTGGGATTGTGAGAAAGCGTTAAGATCAGAGTTTGGAACTCCAATCATAAGCTCAATGCTTGTGTTTCCAAATGCTTTGAGGACTTGAGAATTGTAATCATAGATTCTAACGTATTTGATGTTGTGCTGTTGAATCAATTGAACAACTTTTGCCGGTGTTGGAAGATCATCGGCGCTTCTTCCGTAACAAACTCCGACCTTGCCACCGTAGCAACAGTCTGCAAAAATTTGGGGGAAAAAGATAGAATCAATTGGTTTTTTTTTTCTGACCAATATGTTCTTTTGATAGCTATATGAAATTGCCTAGAAGCTCTACAGTAGATTAGAAGAAGGTAATGGAATCTATTCGAATTTCTAATTCAGAACAAAGTCTCAGAGAGCTCTTGAAGTGAATACTAGAGAGAGAGAGACAGAGAGACAAACCAAGAAGCAGAAGCAGAAGAGAAATGGAGAAGATGAGCTTGAAGTCTCTCGCCATTGCTGTGTAACTACACACTTTGCTTTGCTTCCTTTCCTCGAAAGAAGGAAGCTTTATCTTCTGGCAGCTCTTCTTCTTCTTCGAGTTTCTTCTCTCTTTAGTGAAAAAAGTTTGAAGCTTTTTCTCTCTCTAAAAAAAAGCTTCGCTAAAGCTCTCTCTCTCTTTCTACAGAGAGAGTGGGAAACTAGATTAGTTTAGTTTTTCTTTTTTTTCTTGGCTATTGTTTTTTTCTTGTCAGAAGTTGAACACTGGTCGGAAACGAACCGGGCCTCAGGCAGTACAATAAATTCGATTTGATAGAATTGTCTGGATTCCGCTAAAGCTTTGAGACCATTTCCAACTTTACTTTCGTCCCCCGTTATTTATGCGTATTCTCAAAACTACCCCAATATAAATTATAGGTCCCATGGAATTTAATTTTGTGAGGTTTGGATACGCTCTAAATAAATTCGATCACAAATACTACATTAATTTGCTTATAGCTTTAAACAGTGGGAGAAATATTAATTTCAAACCGACGAAATGCAAAAAAAAAAAAGTAATATAAATTCGTTAATCCAATAAATAAATAATTATTTTTATTTATTCCAAACAAATAATTAACTTTCTTACGATTCCAAAAAAAAACAATTAAGATTATTCTTATCGCCAGCTGTCGATCCCAGATATAACCGGTGGAACGGTTCGAAGAACAGATGTGGTGCAGTTAATGGGCCGTATCAGCTTATATCTATCAATTAAAGCCCATTTGAATCTTACAGCCCAATATATTTAATTCTTAATTATATGATTTTGTTTTTTTTTATTTTTTCTTTTCCCGGTCTTACGCGTTCAAAATAATAAGTCCGTTAACATTGAAGAGTCGTCGTCTTCTCTCCACTACTTTCTTTCTCTTTCTTGAAATTGCTTATTTAGAAACCCTAGAGAGCGATAATCCCAAGGAAGAAAAAAATGGTGAAGATCAAATCGAACTTGAAGCAGCTTAAGCTCTCCGTTCCAGCTCAAGAATCCCCAATCTCTTCCTTCTTGTAAGTTTCCCGATTTCTCCTCTTTGTACTTCGATCTGTTTTGTTTCGTGAGATTGTAAACAAAATCGATTGATTTGAATCATTTATTTTTCTGGGTTTGAATTGATTCTGTGAAATTGATTGAATTCGATTTGAAAAACAGGACTGCGAGTGGAACATTTCACGATGGAGATTTTCTTCTGAATCAAAAGGGGTTAAGGTTGATGTCAGATGAGAAGCAATCAAGGGTAATTTTTTTAACCCTAATCTTGTTTATGAGAGATCTCAATGTTTCAGAGAATTAAGTAATTAAGTGGATTTATTGTGTATGTGTTGTTATCTTCCATTACAGCAATCTGATAGCAAGGAGCTTGATTTCGAAATTACCGCTGAAGACTTAGAGACTGTGAAAGTCATCGGAAAAGGCAGTGGTGGTGTTGTTCAACTAGTTCGTCATAAATGGGTTGGCAAATTCTTTGCTATGAAGGTAAAGTACTTGTTTTTCTTCTCATTGACTAGTCAATTCAAGTAAAGTTTAGTTCTTTTGATAATATGATCACTTGGTTAGGACTAATGATTCACATATAATGCTGGTGAATGAGGCCTTTGAGTAGATTTGGGGTTTTGAGTTTGTTTCTTTTATGAGTCACAGGTCATACAGATGAATATACAAGAGGAGATCCGTAAGCAAATTGTCCAGGAGCTCAAAATAAACCAAGCATCATCGCAATGTCCACATGTAGTTGTTTGCTACCATTCTTTCTATCACAATGGAGCCTTTTCTCTTGTGCTTGAATACATGGACCGGGGATCTCTTGCGGATGTGATAAGACAAGTCAAGACTATTCTTGAACCTTACCTTGCTGTTGTCTGTAAACAGGTCCATTGAACTTCCTATACTCCACCATGTGATTTAAAAGTATTCTCATGGTTTGTCGTCACTCTTACTTATTTTACCCTTGTTTACACAGGTTTTGCTAGGCCTTGTGTACCTGCACAACGAAAGACATGTCATACACAGAGACATTAAGCCTTCAAACCTTCTTGTAAACCATAAAGGGGAAGTGAAAATCTCAGATTTTGGTGTAAGTGCAAGTCTTGCTAGCTCCATGGGACAGAGGGACACATTTGTTGGAACCTACAACTATATGTCGGTACGAAAGCATTCCAAAAATCACTACATTACAAATTTCTTTATGTTTTTGTATTGTAAAACATACTTACTTATTCATGACTTGTCTCTTTTTCACTTCTTCACTTCACAGCCTGAGAGGATCAGTGGAAGCACATATGACTACAGCAGTGACATTTGGAGTTTGGGCATGTCAGTATTAGAATGCGCAATAGGAAGATTCCCTTACTTAGAATCTGAAGATCAGCAAAACCCGCCAAGCTTTTATGAACTCTTGGCAGCGATCGTAGAGAATCCACCACCAACTGCTCCTTCTGATCAATTCTCACCTGAATTCTGCTCCTTTGTATCAGCCTGGTAAGTGGTAACTCATTATTCGCATCTTCATATAATTTGGATAAAGACACAGACAGAATGAATATTAATGGTCCAAATGATTCTGCTGTACATTAACAACAGCATACAAAAAGATCCTCCAGCAAGAGCATCATCTTTGGAACTCTTGGTAAGTAATTCCTACTCACCACTCTCTCTCTCTCTCGCAGTCTTGGTTATTAGTATCTCTGATGAAACATTCTAAGATTTGTTTGTTCATGATCTCAGAGTCATCCATTCATAAAAAAGTTTGAAGACAAGGATATTGATCTCGGGATACTTGTTGGCACTCTGGAACCACCTGTTAACTACCTTAGATAAGTAAACCCTCTTCTTCCGCATTTGCATTTGGTATATGATATGATATGATAAGATACATGATATTGTGTAATGTATCTCTACAGATTATTACTTGACAATGAAAGTTGAATGAGATTTTATTATACAAGGTTTTGGTTATATATGTGATAGTCAATTATAAAACTTATTTTCTCCCAAATTATGACATTCCATGTAAACAAAAAAAGCTCTGTTTTCAAGAATTAAAGAAGATCCGCAGATAAGAAAACAAAACCATCAAAGATAAAAGTCAAGGGAAAGGAAGAAGAAAGCTAAGAACGTCTCTGTGTCTTCTAGAGAGACACACACCATCACATAAGAGAGTCACATTAGTCAAACACAAACTCACATATCTCTGAAACTCTCTCCATAGACTGTAACTCGCTGAACCTGGAATCACATTGGTCTCTACATTTCGTTGAGAATGTCGCCCTCTGTAGGAAAGTAGCGTTTGCTAGTATGTACCCAACCATATCCTTCTCATGCTCAGTTCCTTCATAATCTCTCCATTTCAAGATCTCAAGACGCGTAGATAGACATTCAGGAACAACTGTTGGTTTTTCCCAGATGCCCTTCGGATTGATATCGTTTTTATGTCTCTGACATGAAAAAAATGAAAGAAACATTACGTGTGTTAGTGTTAAAGATCGTCTTAAAAGAAACGGACACACAGAGATGATGCTATGGTATACTATTTTTCTATGTTTAAAGAACATGATTCTGCAGTTTTTTATCATTCAAAACATTGCTAAAGTTTTAGTGTTGCTAGTAGTGAATGTGTAGGAAAAATATGACAAGAAAATGTTATCATACTGTTCATCTGACATACTAGTAAAAAAGTTGCATTCTACATACCAACTTAAGTGTAAGAGATCGAAGATTGGGAGCGTCATTGAGCATACACGCAAGTAGATTCTGCCATCCCGCAGAACATGTACATAGCTTTAGATGTTCAAGATTGGGGAATTTTGTGTCTGTAGGATATGGAGTCTGCAGTTATAAAGTTTATGTTATTTTCAGTTATGAAAATAAACAAAACATAAAAGGAGAAATACTGACATTATTGGAGTAAGAGAGTTTTTTTACCATTGAAGTTGGAGAACAAAGAGAAAGATGTCGGATTGAGGTAAGAGACTCTAAGAACTTCTCAGATTGGTTATGAGTAACCTCGATATCCGATTTGATCATCGCAGGCATGGATTCAAACATTATACAGTTACTGAATGTATCCTTAATGTTCAAGAACATCAAAGAAGGAGCATTTATCCAAAAGCCACCGGTGCGCCCATACATCCCTTTCCTGTTATCGATAGATAAGCTCCTCAAAGTAGGCACATTGATATTGATTATAGTCACATCGTCATATCTGTTTTGGTGTACAACCAAACGTTCATGAACAGAGTAAATTCTTATAAGACTTGCACCAGAATTGCCTCCAGCAACCGATGAAAGTTGGAGAGTTTCGAGTGATGGCAAACGAAACCAACGCGGGACAGGCCTGATGCTTAAATTATCGAGTACCAATTCTTTTAGGGTTGTGCACGTACTCAAGCAACAAGGCAGTTCTAGGGTTTTGCCAAACAAGTCGATTCTCAGCTCTCTCACAGATCGATTAACCCCGAGTTGAACTAGAAAATTGATATCTGAAGCAGAATAGTAATTGTTAAGCTTGAGATGCAAGCTATCTAGAATTTGAGCATCCTTGGACATCAAAGATCCATATACAAAACTCATATCGATTGATTGATCATCAAAAATGACATTCGGCTCCGGTTTCCAATGACCCTTCCCATATTCTGATATGAAACGTGTTGCTAAATCCTCTTTGAAAAACGGAAGAAGCGAGAATATCTTCAAGATTAATTCATCAGGCATATCACTGAGCTCTGTTGGTGTCTCCAATTCTTTTTGCTTTTTCTTCTGGCAGCTCTCCATGATTCTGGTGAATTCTTCTCTCTGTTTTGGGACGTGTGTGCAAAGGAAGAAGAAAAGAGCCTTAGGTCAATTAGGTTTCACGATTACTAAAAAATCAATTTAAGATATATGTTAAAAAAAAAAAGATTTTCTTAAAAGATTTGAGTTAATCTGGATAATTTTAACAAAAGAAAAGTCGGAATTATAAAAATTTAGTCTTATTATTCATGCTATTATTTTTTGATGCAAAATACGATTATTATTGGAAAAAAAATCAATAAAAGTCAGTTTCCTAATTTTTATTTGACGTGGGGAAAACGACTTACTATTGCTAATTTTTAATTTTCCTTTCTCAATTTTCTAATTGATTAATTGTAATTTTCTTTACTTTTTTTTATAAATGCTAATTTAACTACATTTCCATTTTACTTGGACTAGGGCCTGACCTGAAAATTTCCATACTGTAAATTAATAATTAAATTTTTTAATAGTGAAGATAACTTCAAAATCTTAAGTATATTTTAGTGATTTCAAAGAAAATATATACGTATACAGTGAATCCTTATAAATTTTGATTATTAAAATAGAATTAATAACCCATTAATACAGTACAACAAAAAGATTTTGCATCAATAATTTTAGTATAAAAAAAAAACACAGAGACATTAATAAACCATCAAACTAGGCTTCTTGTAAACCATAAAGGAGTAGTGAAAATCTCAGATTTTGGCGTCATAAAGAAACTCTTTCATTTTATTAGTTTTTGGAAAAATCCCATCTACTTTGTTTTAGTTTTAGTTTTACGAATCTCTATGTTCTGATTATCTTGTTGAAATGCATGAAAAGTATTGAATAGTGTAAAGTTTTCAAATATGTAAACAAAAACTGTTCTGTGTTCACAAATAAAAGAAGATCCGGAGATCAGAAAACAAAACCCACAAACACCAAAAATAAAGTCAGAAGAAAGGAAGAAGAAAACTAAGAAACTCTGTTTTCTAAAGACCAAAACCATCACATAAGAGTTTAGTCAAACACAAGCTGACATGTCTTTGAAACTCTGTCCATAGACTTTAACTTCTTTAACATGCGATGATTTTTGTTTCTACATCTTGTCGAGAACGTCGCCATCTTTAGACAAGTAGCGTTTGCTAGTGTGTACTCAGCCACATTCCTCTCTTGCTCTGTGCCTTCATATTGTCTCCATTCCAAGATCTCTAGGTGCTTCGATAAACAATCGGGAACAACTGTTGGTTCTTTCCAGAGGCTCATCGGATCACTGTATTTGGCACTATGTTTCTGAGACAAAAAGGAGAAAAGACATTACTTGTTTTACTATTATAGATCGTTAAAAATTATGTGGAAACACAAAGACAATTGAATGAAACTATTTTTCTACGTTTTAAGGACATGACTTTGCAAAAAATTTTTATCATTCTTCAATTTCTTATGTAGATCTAACATACCGACTTAAGCTTTAGAGATCGAAGTTCTTGCGCGGCATTGAGTATACAAGCAAGTAGATTTGCCCATCCCGCAGAACATGTACATAGCTCTAGATGTTTAAGAGACGAGAAAACAGTGCAAGCAGGATATGGAGTCTGCCATTAAAGTATAAATTATTTACTGTAATGATAATAATAACAAAACATTAAAGGAGAAATCTTGACATTATTTGGAGTAAGAAAGTTTTTACCTTTGAAGTTAGAGAACAAAGAGAAAGATGTTGGATTGAGGTAAGAGACCCTATGAAGTTCTCAGATTGGTCACAAATAACCTGAATATTCGCTTTGATCACCTCAGGCATAGGTTCAAACATTGTAAAGTTACTCAATGTATCCTCAAAGTTCAATTCTGTCAATGAAGGAGCTTTGATCACAAATCCATTACTTCCCTCAACGTATGTGCGTTTCCCGTGTTTCCCTTTCGAATTCCTAATAGATAAGTTCCTCAAAGTAGGCACATCGATATTGGATATCTTCACGTTGTCATTTTTGATTTGGTCTACAACCAAATGTTCAAGAACAGGGCAGATTTTTAAAAGACTCGCAACAGATTCATCGCCCAAGAACTTAACCGATAGAAGGTGCAACGCTTCGAGTGATGACAAACGAAACGAAGGAGGAACAATCTTGATACATAATCCATGTAGAGTCAATTCTTTTAGGGTTCTACAAGAACACAAGCAACACGGCAATTCTAGGGTTTTGCCAAACAGGTCGATTCTCAGCTCTCTCACAGATCGGTTAACCGCGATTTGAACCCAAAAATTGATGTCCGAAGCAGAATAGTTTTGGTTAAGCTTGAGATGCAATCTGTCTAGAATTTGAGCATCGGTAGACAACAAAGATCCATAAACAAAACTCATAAAAGTCTCAAAACTTTTAAATGGTGTATCATCATCATCAAACATGACATCCGGCACCAGTTTCCAAGGACCTTTCCAACGTTTTGATATGAGACGTGTTGCTAAAGTCTCTTTAAACATAGGAAGGGATGACAATATCTTTAAGAGCAATTCATCTGGCAAGTCACTGAGCCTCTTTTTCTCCATACTTTTTGTTTATTCTTATGAATTCTGCTCTTTGGAAAACCTGCCCCGAAACATGCAAAGCATGAAGAAAAGAACCCTAGTCAAATTAGGGTTCGTGAGAAAAAAAAAACACTTAATATGTATATGAAACAAGTAGTAGCAATCAAAGAAAAGTTAGTTTTAGATTTTTTTGGTGATTCGATTGTACCTAATACTATTATCAAAATCAATACATAAATTTTGTTTATTATTAAAATTTTGAAGCAAAAAACTATTATAAATATCCAATAAAATTCGTTTCTTGATTTTTAAATCATTCCTTTTACAATTTCAGTATTCCATTTCATAACTGATTAATCTTCCTTTTCTTTTTATAAAGACTAGTTCAACTACCATATCATTTGTGAAAACAAAACTGCTCTGTTTTCATAAATTAAAGATAAAAAGAAGATCCGGAGATTGGAAAATAAAAACCCACAAACACCAAAAATAAAGTCAATGAAAAGGAAGAAGAAAACTAAGAATCTTTGTGTCTTCTAGAGACACACACCATCACATAAGAGTTTAGTCAAACTGAAACACAAGCTGACACTATACTCTCTTGCTCTGTGCCTTCATATTGTCTCCATTCCAAGATCTCGAGATGCTTCGATAAACATTTAGGAACAACTTTTGTTTTTTTCCGGAGGTTCATCTGTTCATTGTAAATTTGTAATTGACACTATGTTTCTGAGATCAAAAAAGAAAGAAAGAAAGTAACATTACGTGTGTTAGTGCTATAGATAGTTAAAAAAAAAAAAAAGCGTAAACACAAAGATTATTGAATGATATACACTATTTTTCTATGTTTTAAGAACATGATTTTGCAAATGTTCATCATTCAAAACATTGATACTGTTTTTACGTGACCTTGTGAGACCTATAAAAAAAAACGTACGTTGCATTCGAGTATATAAGTCTTTATAGGTCTTTACACTATATTACTATCAAATAAAAACATCATTAATTAAGTGTTTTATTCGAGTATATCCGTTATTATATTGTTCATCTAACGTACTAGTAATAGTGTAAAGACCTATAAAAAATATTGCATTCTACATACCGATTTATGGAGGATGTACGAAATAATTTATTTTCGATTTTTAAACAAGGTTTTGGTTGAATATATATGTGGTTAAATAAACTCAGTCAATCTTACCAAAAAAAATAAAATAAATAGACTCAGTCAACTTAAGAACTTATTTTTCTCCCAAATTATGACATTTCATAAAGGCCAAATCAAAGGATAAGAATATATTTATTTTTTCAAATGAAAAGTGAGGTTTTTTTTCATCTATTGTGAATATAATTTTCGGTCTTTTTTTTTCTGTTTTTTGCTAAAGATATTCGAAATTTGAAGGAGACTTTTAATATGTAATAATGTCTATACTAAAAATATGTGTGAAATGTGAATAGGAATAAATAAATTCCTCCTAACTCAGGACTTTAATTTGCAATATGTATATTCAAGTATCATAGATTTTTACTTTGAATTTTATTCAGTGTGTACATGCTATAAATCGTTTGAAACTTGAATCATGATATTATCCCTATATATCAAGAAAAAGGCTGTTTGTGTGTCGGGAAAAAGTTGTTTAAAGAAGGACAAGATTCTTGTTCTAAGGATATCGCGTAAAGAGTAATTTACACAAAATGTGAATATAAAATAATGGGAAATTGTTAAAACTACCCTTTTTGGTGTGTCCCTTTTCAAAAATACCCATTTTAGATATCCATTTTCAAAAATGTCTCTTTTTAAATCTGAAATTTTTATAAAGTTTTATTAGGTTTATAAGGTACTTATAGATTGTAACTACTACTTGAAGACTCGATCCAAGTATTTATAAGGTTTTATAAGGTGTTTTAAAAGGTTTTACAAGTTATTTTAAAGGATTTTTAAGGTTTTTCAAAGGTTTCACAAAATATTTTAATGGTTTTTAAAGGTATTTAAAATGTATTTATAAGGTATTTATAAAGTATTTATAAGATTTTAGATACATAGAAATGTAGTTTGTGTATGTTTTAATAATATTACATACATATTTGGATAAATTTTATATTTTTAAGAGCATTTTTTATAAGGTTTTAAAAAGGGGGTATTTTTGAAAAGTGGCATTGAAAAAGTGTCATTTTTGCAAAAACCCCTAAAATAATTTGAGGATATACGTTGTTATTTTTCTATTTAATTGCTTTTCTTAGGAAAAGTCGTTATTTTAGTGATGGGAACTAAAATTTTCGGTCCAATTAACAAAATCAGAAATAAAAAAAGGAATAAGGATAGAGGTGACGAGGACATGATTCGGATAGGTTTTAAGAGAATGGGTCTTATCCTCTTTTGCCTAGTAACAGCAGCACCATAGGGAATTGAAAAAGAAAACTCCCTAAGCAAATCTAAACCATAAATACTACTATTACTATTTTAATTACGCAAACCGACCTTTATTTATATTTTATCCTCTCTGCAAAACCTTTAGACCTAATCTCTTTGTATTTTTTTAGTAAATCCTATATTTTCACTGGAACATCTGTATATGACAGAAACAACATATGTTATCTTATCAAAACTACAAAAAATACTAATTATAGTTAGTTTAGAAATGAAATTTTATGTTATGGAAAACGAATAATAATACTCTAAATAACAAATTAAAGGGAAAAAGTGAGTTTAGAAAACCAAAAACAAAAAGCAAAAAGCTGTGATATTGATAATGACGGCCCATAGAATGAGGACCACATATGAGAAAACACACAATAATACCAATTAACATATGCGATGAGATAATCAATAATAACAAAACAAAACACAAAAATTTTGAGATAAAACTTGAAAAAAAAGAAAGTGAAATTATATATTTAAAAGGGTCAACGTTATCCACGGCTTGCACGTAAGTAATACCCACACATATATTTATCCTTTTTTCTTTCTTTCTCTTTTTCGCTTTTTTTAAATTTAAAATAAAGAAATAACTCAAAAGCTCTTCACATATCCATCCATATATATTGTAGATATCTATCTGCAAATAGAACTCATGTTTCTTTGTTTCCAATTGTAGAACAACACAACCATCCTTTGACAAAACAACTTTCTTTCTTGTGTGTTTCTCTTATGTTCAAAGAGATGAATCTGAATCTGAAGCAAATGGGCAACATGATCTATGAAGATCCAACAGGGATCCAAGAAGAAGACATTGTTCAAGGAGTTTCAAGAACATTCTCTGAGGAAGAAGAAGATTCATCATCTTGTTCATTATCTTCTTCCATGTGTTCTTCATCTGATTTAACAGAGGATGATGATGATGATGTTTCTTCATCTTCTTCTAATGGACCTCTTGAAGATCTCTCTGACCTCATGTCACATCTCCCAATCAAGTAAGAAAACAATCTTTTTGGAAGCTTTTGGATTTTGGGGTTTAGTACCTAATGGATCTAAATACATCTCTGTTTTCTGGTAATAACAAAAGTTTTGTTTATGATCTCAGGAGGGGATTATCAAAGTTCTATGAAGGAAGATCTCAATCATTCACATCACTAGCAAATGTTAAAAGCCTTGAAGATCTTATGAAGAGAGGGTTTAAAAATAGAAACTATGGAGCAAAAAGAAAGTCATCTAGGAGTACTGGAGGGATTTTAGATCAAAGCTATAAAAGGGTTTATAGTCCTAGAGCTACAATCTCCAAGAAACCCAACAAAACACCTTCCTCTGCTCTCTCTTGTCTTGCCAGAAGAAGACCTTAGATCTCAGACAAATATTAGACTTTTTTCTTCTTCCAAGTTTTAACCCTTTTTACGATTCACCATAATCGGTTTCAGTAACATAACAAGGGAATAAAACATTGTAGCATTCCACTGTCTTAATTTGTAGAATAGACTTGTTTACACTTTTTTTTTTTGGCTGTTTGGTTGTATGTATCAAAGCTTGTAAACAGGAGTGATTCAGAGAAGGTGGAAGCATTTCCGCATAACTATGGCTGTTGCTTTACATAGTAAGAGTCGGCTTGTCTCTTGTTCCGAACCAGTAACCTGACAAAGTTTTATAGTGGACCATTGTTTTACGTTAAGTAAGAATCAGACCATTTGGTGATTTGATTATGCAAAAAGATTCAAGTCAATTTTAAGTTAAGAATCAGGACAACTTTTAGTATAGAATGTTTGATAACATACCTGAAAATTTGTGTAGAACTTGTAGTATTCAGATAAGTTAAAGAGGTACTTGCACAGTACGCTTGGTAACAAATTGGTAAATACTTCCTCAACAGTCTGCAAGAACGTTCACAACATTGATCTAATCGTATAAGATCTTTTCATCGAAAAAGAAAAACAGAGCTATCGACTGATCGATCTACCTCAGAAAATCGTAGCGAGTGAAGTCCTAGTGCTCGTTCATCCGCATGATTCAACACTAGCTTTCCTGTCTGCAACAAAGCAAAGAAGATGTTGTGAATATGAATTCAAGGAACACAAAGAAGTAAATTTGAGATTATGCAGCCAAAACAAACACACCTTCTTAAGCTCATTTATGTCTCGGCTGTTTAATCAAGCTCCTAAGGAGTCCACTCTTGTTCCTTACCTGCACAGAGTCAATCTCAGAGGTTGAATATTTTCACATACGTAACTTATTCAAGAGAATGATTCAAGAATACCAAAATGTAAACAGTAACAAAGGCATTTATACCGCACTCAATAAGAACATCTCTACTGCGAGTCTTAGCATCATCTAGCAAATAACTTAAAGGGACCACATCTGAATCTCGAGTTCTAAATGGTTTGCCATCTTTTGGCTTGACAAAACCAAAACCAACATGGCTTGTTTTAGGGTAAGTCTTGTCATCATTATCCTGATTCAGCCTTAAATGAAAACAACCATGAATTAGAGTTAAGTTAAATCAAGACACAGAACTTCACATAAAACCTACTTTTGAACACCAAATCAAAGTGCAACTGTTGTCATAACCGGTAACATATAATCCACTCAGCTTTCTCTTCATTAAGTCGATACCTTGAAAAAACAGAGTTTATCATCAGCAGACAATTCATTAAACAATATACACTTATTGAAGAAAACATTCAAAAGATAACCAACCAAAGAGCAGTCAGATCTGTTGTCTCATGTTATAACCACCATGACTCTTAACAACCATAAGTGGCTTAGCTATGCCTTCATTGAGGATTCTTGAACTGAGTACCCTCCTTTCCTTTGATCTTGGACCAGAGATGCACCGCATTGTTACTGTAAACAACAGTATTGAGAAAGAACATAAGTAAGCAAATAAAGAAAACCAAATTTTGGGGAAAAAGAGAGCAGAACCATTGGTAATGACCGAAATTTTCAGAGCAGGTTTCAACATTAGGTTCATCCGGAACCGGAACAGTTAGTTTAGAGACGCTTCAAAGAGCTTAGAAACTTACTGTTTGAGGTTTCCCGTGAGTTCTTCCTCCTGTTCCAGAACCTTAACATAAGTTTCAAAACAGAGAAACAAATATCATTTTATCTCCACCATTCTCTCCAAGTTAGAAGCGCCACTTACCGTTGCCATGGCTGATGTGTCTTGGTTGCCAAAGGATAAGTCTACAAAACTGTTGTTCTCAATTTGAGTGTCTACATTGCAGAAAAATCATTACAAACATTAGCAACTTCCCAACAATCGATTGTGAAGTATCAGTAGTTCAGTACGTACGATTATGAAATCAGGAAAAGGTTTTATCAGCCGTTAACGCTAAACCCTGGCACCACTGGAGTCTAAATTGCGGATCGGGTAGTTGTAATCGCTAGGGTTAAGGAAGAATATGAAGAAGAAATCAGGAAAATTTTCTTACGACTTTACATTCTCCGGAGATCGGTGGTGTTGTTCTTCTCTCTATCTAAGTGGCTTGATCAACAAGGCGACTAAAGGTTTGTTTAGAGGATGAAATTGCAACACCCTTATTAAAAACGACGACGTATTAACGCAACATGTAAGAAAACGCAAAAAACGGCGTCGTTTCATCAGTTGATGTTAATTGCTACGATGCCGTTTTAAGGTTAATTTCAGCATCGTCGTTTCCATATAGATTTTTAAATTCTATTTATCTATTTCACTTTTTCATATCCGGTTTGGTACGGTTCAACCGGGTTTAATATTTTAGATGACGGTACTCTATCTACTTTCTCGGAGAAATAATGCTGGAATGCCACCGTCTTTCTTTTTTTTTTTTCCTTCCAATAGCTTTATTAATAACCAATATCAGAGTTTACAACATTTGCTAAAAACAGGGGACATGAATAGAACAACATTGCATTGCTATTGCACGTTAGTGCCTTCCTTGCTAGCATATCTGCACATTCGTTACTCTCCCGACTCCGAAATCTGAAAGTTACGGATGTGAACATAGTCTTCCAGGTGCGGATCGTGTCGAGGTAGTGTTGAAGCCTGGGATTTGCTGCGTTTCCATTGATCAGACGGTTTATAGTGAGATTATCTCCTTCAAACTCAATTGACTTGTATCCAAGTGCCCATATTAATGTTGTGCATTCTGATTCTTCAACTGTTGCCCGTCCTTGGAATTTTCCCATACCGCATTCTAGAACAGTCCCATTTGAGTTCCGAATTATCCATCCTAGTCCCGATGGGTAGTTCCCTGTATGATGAGAAGCATCATAGTTACATTTGACCCAACCCCTTGGTGGAGGTTCCCATTTTCCATTGTTGCTTCTCCGGCAAGTTGTTTCGCTTGGGATGGAGTCTGTTTCAACACTTTTTTCTAACCATTCCTTTGTATCCATTACAGCCCTTTCGATTGTGTCTTTGGCCTCTATGACGTTGCGATTGAACACTAAGTCGTTTCTAGCTTTCCAGATTCTCCACATTAGCCAGAAAGGAAGTAGTTGATGGAGTTTAGAACAGTTTTGTGTGGTGTGAAGTTCGATGAGGTATTGGAGCTTTTCCTCTATTGGTTTTCCTTGGTCACCCAATACTTGTGTTGTATAACCTGCCGCTCTCCATATCGGGATAATCTCCGGACATGAGAAGAAAGTATGGTCTCGCGTTTCTAATTTGGTACAACACTTAGAATAGTAGGGATTGACGTTTATGTTGCGTCGTCGGAGGTTTTCAGCCGTTCCTATTGCCCTTGATGCTAGTCGCCAGAGAAAATGTTTTAGTTTTGGAGCTATATCCAACTTCCACACATTAGTAGCTAGATCAGGATGACTCGCAAGAGGAGGCTTTGGGTCATCATCGGTGAGTGTTGCACTGACTGCTTTCCAATACCCTGATTTGACAGTGTATTTACCATCTTCAGTATGACTCCATATGTAAGAATCCTCCTTGCTGCTTTGTGGGAGATAGATCTTAAGGATTTTTGGTGATCCGTTGGATCTATCAAGTTACTGATTTTAGTCTCATCCCATTGACGGGTTATTGGATCTATCAAGAAACTGGCAGCAAGGGTGGGTTCTATCATTGGCAGTAGAGTTGGAGGCCATGGTGGTGTCGTTGGCAGCCATGGGTCGAGTCCTATCTTAGTGTTTTCCCCGTTACCGATGGCAACTTGGATTCCAGTTTTCAAAAGGTCTCTTCCAAATCGCAATGAATTTCATCCATACGAAGGTTTCGTTCCTCTATTTGCGGAGAAAATATCGCCATCTTTGAAGTACCTGGCCTTTAGAAGCCGAAAGATCATGCTGTGAGGCCTTTGTATAATTTTCCATACTTGATTCGCTAGCAAGGCTTGGTTAAACAAATGTAGGTCGCGAAAACCCATTCCTCCCGTTTTTTTGATGTCACCAGCTTCTTCCAAGCAACCCAAGATATTTTCCGTTTTTCCTTAGTTGAACCCCACCAGAACCGGGCTATCATACTATCTATTTCCGAACAAAGCTCCATAGGTAACTGGAAACAATTCATCGAATAGACCAGCATGGCATATGCTACTGCTTTGATTAGTGTTTCTTTCCCGGCTGTGGAGAGGAACTTGGTTTGCCAGCCATTAATCTTCTTTTGAACGTTGTCATAGATGTGGATGTCGGATTCACACACTCAAGTATTTGTTTATTTAGTGAGAAGGATTATTCTTGAGGACAAAAATTGATTTAAAAAAAGCTATGAATAGATATGAAAATGGATATAGTATATTTGCTAGAAAAATTACGTGTGTTTTACATGGCCCTTGGCCTTCTTATTTATACTAACAAACAACATTTAACTCCTAATTAAATACAATTATTCTCTCTTAAATGTGTCCGTTTCAGTCTTTGAGTTTAATGCTCAAACGTTCGAATTTGAATTGATTCCGATCTTCATGGGTCTCACATTTCAACCCAAATAATCTCGAACCAAACTATCCGTGACTTCGACTCCGTTCCCACCTCGCGATGTGACCACTTCGCCCGTATCTTCCTCTTGATCTAAGGGTCTTATGGGCCTATCTCTCGTGGGCTTCTCCTCTGCTTATGTGGCAATCTTTGGTTGGTCCTGGACTACTGGTGCGGGATCCGATACTAACAATTAGCCCCCCAAGTCTTCCGAAGTGTTATTTTAGTTCGGAAGATTTTAATGCTTTAATGACCAAAGATTACGCTTGAAAATCTTCTGATTTCCCGCCGAAAATCCCATCACTCCTTTAATTTCGCACTATCCATTTTTAACCGTATGACATCTTGATAGTTGTTCTTAATAGATTGTGACTCAAAATGATTCAATTTGCCTTCAGACTTCAAGGGTTTTGCTTTACTCTGCCATTGCTTTGATCTAGAGGATAAAATGAACAAGCATAGAAATTTATCTAATTTGGAGCTATAATGAGCAGAAGATTAAATAGTTGCAGCAGAAACTGAAAGATTGAGGATTTGTTTGATTGTAAACAATAGAATCATATGGTGAAATTGAAGTTTTATGTACAACTAGATCACTTAGGTACAACTGAGACAATTTTGGTATAAGTTGAACTATTTGGTGCAACTGCACTATTTGATTGTTCGGATAGTTTTTTTTGTTTTTGGTGCAAAAAACTACGTGTTTGTATATGGTAAAAAAATTGGACCTTTTGTTTGTATATGGTAAAGTGGATCTTTTGTTTATGTATTTTGGTGGTATTTTAGTGCAACTGGAATTACTAGGTATATCGGAGATGTAATTATTCGGTTTAACTAGGTAAACTAAGATGAAAAAAGTAAAAAAAGTATAATATTTAGATTATATTTATGTTCAATTGGTTTTGTAGGTACAACTAGTCTATTTAGGTACAACTATGTGTATGAGTTACTTATAAGAAAGTACAATTACATCACTTAGGTACAACTGAGACAATTAAAAATAACATTTTAAAAAAAAATTAATTAAAATAAATTTTTTTTAAAAAAATGATCCACGTAAGCATGATTTTTGGCAACCTGATATTAATTTTAAATCATCACACGTGTGGTAAAGTGGGCCAAAGACAACATGATATTAATAAAAAATTGTTTTGTTTTAAACATAGTTGTACCTAGTTGTCCAGTTGTACTCTCATATTCATAGTTGAACTTTAGCTATTTTTGTGTATTTCCAGTTGGACTTTAATGAAAATTAGTAATTTCCAGTTGAACACATGATGTTATACTTTTAATTATCATTTAGGAGGTTTTCAAAACACAATGTTCAGAAAAACTTGATTTTTACCTCTTTTGCTTCATATGCAGTGATCACTTACTAAGTCTTCCTTATATTGGAAGAAGTGTGTTATGTGAAAATATTTTTTTTTTTTACAAAATTGATAAATTATGGTTGTATTGATTTTAAATAATCTATTTATATTTGAAGATGTTTTTAGGGAATTTCTTATATAAATATTAATTTATAACTTGTTATAATTTAATAAAATGCATAATACAATGAACGTAGTTGAACTAATAGTATATATTTGGAAAATGATAAATTCGAGTTTTATTTATTTAAAATTGTTTGTTTATAGTTCAAAATATTTTTGGAATCGATATAAACTCTAATTTATCGTTTTCATATTTGTTGTATAGAACTACGTATACATTTATGGTCTTAGTTATACTCAGTCGAACCTAGTTGTACAAATACGACGAATTCAAATACATATATGTTCTTAGTTGTACCCAGTCGAACCTAGTTTTATAAATTTGACAAATACTAATACATGTTTTATTTTCCAAATCATTGAATATCTTTGCATGTAAAACATATAGATCTGTAAGTAAAAATGGTTATCAATAATATCATATATTTACTTTGAAATTAAAATAACCAAAGTACAACGTTGTTAGCAACTAGAGCATCTACTTTAGCTGGAGTCTTGCCTTTCTTTGATCTTTTTCTTCTTCTTAGGCTTCTCAGATTTAGCCTCCTCATCACCATCTTTTTCCTTGGTTCCCATCTCAGTTTCTACACAAAATTCAGTAATTACGAATCATTAGATATGTTCCGTACATTACAGATGAGAAAAACAAGAATCTGAAATAATTACCGTTTTCAATTGCTTCACAAAGCATTAACAAGATCTATGATGCCTTCGTTCTCATCATCATCAGTAGTTTGGTTTAATTCAGTTAGAAGATTATTTACAACAATTAAAGGTAATCAAGGCTTACTAGTGTGTAACATCTAGAACTGATGATAAGAATCAGTAACTTCAACCATATACAAAAAAAAAACAAAACAAAAGTTTACCTTTCTCATGATCCTTCTCTTGGTCATCAATCATGACTAAATCAGCATTTCCTATCTCCTTTTGAAGGTCTATTCAACAAAGAAACTACATCTCTATAACACCCTAACATAAAAGATCACAGAATTCAACACTTGTTATAAACTACAGTTTACCTTGTTCCATTGTCCCCATAAGATCAAGACTGGCCTCAACATCAATGGAATGACCATCTACAGGCTCCTCTTGGTATGCATCACAAATTTGCTGGTTCTCTCCCATTCTAGTGCCACTTCCATCGCCGTTTTCATTATCTTAAGAAAAAACAGATACAACAATAAAAAGGTAAACTAATCAACTAGTATTCCCCAATAACTTCAAACTAATCAACTAGTATGAATTTTGAGGTAGAATTTGTCATAAGAACTCATGATTACGGAATTGACAGTTCTCGTTTCTAACATCGAATCCCACCACACTCATCTAAGCGCATCAACAAGGGATCTTAGATAATAAAATTCTTGCTCTTCAAAAAGAAATCAAATCAAACAAGAAGAAGGACAAAGGATGAAGAAAACTATACAATTATTAGAAACTTCGAATCGTTGATGCAGAATCTCTGATAACTGAGAGAGCGTCGTCGTCGGAGCGGTGGTGGTTGACTCTAAAATGGCATGTTTGATTCATTTTTCTGGTTTAGTGGCATTCTAGCCTCTGACTCGGTATCTAACAAGTCAAAATTAATCCGAGGTTACACGTAAAATCTCAAAGTGCGAAATTCCTCTTTCTCCGTCGTTGCTCTCTTCCGGCGATACGAGTATCTGATCCGAGCAATCTCACTCCAAAAGCTTGATTTCCTGAATTTAAAGAATCTGATTTCTGGTTTGTTTCTCTTCTCTCTGTGTTAAAATATCCATTGATCTTTCGTGGGGTATAATAATAGTTATCTTCCTTCTTGCGCATGTATACGATTTGGGTTCTATATGCTTGAGAATTCCCTTGAAATCGAAACAGATCTGTGTAATTTTTATGGGTTTACTCGCGTAGGTAGTGGATTTCTAGGTTTTTCAGATTTTTTGTTGTTTTTATCAAATCGTTGTGATTTAAGAGTTGCATTAATCTGTTTGGTTATGTTTCTTCTTGATCTGTAGATGGATAGTGGAACGGTCAACATCAAGAAATGGGTAGTGATATATCCAGTCTATATTAACTCAAAGAAAACTGTAGCTGAGGGAAGAAGAATCAGTGTGAGTAAATCATGTGAGAATCCGAATTGCATTGAGATCAGTGATTGTTGCAAGCATTTGAAACTCCCTAGTGCCGTCGAGGTAATTCATCATCTAAATTGGGTTTACGGGAGGATGTTGTCTTTTTAAACAGTCTTTGATTTGAGGTTTTCTGGTGTTTTTTTAGATTGACAAAGCATACCCGCGCGATTTCATGCAAGTAGGGAGAGTGAGGGTGCAATTGAAAAGGGAAGATGGGACTTTACTCAATCCAGCCATTACTTCAAGTAAGACCTTGCATTTGTATTCGTGATTCTATATCTGCTCACTGTAGAACATTTTTCTTTTATGTTTTCTTACCGCTCGCTGTAGAAAATTTGTCTTCTGTTTTTTCTTTTAGTGTTAACCTAGTGTGATCAATTAGATTGAACTTGCAGTTTTGTATACCTGACTGGAAATCAGAAGCCAGTCTTGTCGTCATTGACTTAGATAATGGAATCTGCTTTATTTACTTTACTTACTCTTCTTGTGTTGTTAAGATCTCTCCTTGTTACCCATGTGTGGATGTGTTCAATCTTCCTACTAATGTTGCCTGATACCAGCCTGCTTGTTATCAAAACTCTAGTCTCTTATATTAACATTCTACTTTATTTTATCTTATATCACCCTGATTCAAACTTTTTCATTGATAATTTTGTCATTTATATCATCACCAATATCAACCTTTGATCTGGAGGCTTCATTTCCAGGGATCCCTAAATTTTTCATTTATGGTCAGCATCATTATTACCAGAATCTCATGTGGGGAAACAAGCTGTTATATTATGTACATATCGATATTATGTGTATGGAACTTACTGCAGCAACTAACTGATTCTTTAGATGTTTATGTTTGTTATGATAGTGTTAACGGAATATCACCTTATGCTAAGTTTATCAGATTTTCTTCTTCACAAATTCTTTATCAATTTGTGCTATATCTTGAATTTCTTTGGTTGGTATTGGTGCATATGATCACGGCAGACTCTGATGCAGAAATAAGCTAATATAGAACTTGTTTATTTCAAGCACTTTTTGGCAAATTGCATGACATGTGTTTGTGTTTGCGTCGGTGTATGTGTATGTGTATGCATTTGTACTGTTACATCTAAATAGCTAGACCTTGGCACGCAGAAATGAGCGACGTAAAACCATTTTCCAAATTGCTGGTTCTTTAGATGTTTGTGTTTACTTTTACCTTATCCTCATCATGCCCAGGAAAGAATAAATATATGAATATACATTTGGCTTGCTGCTTTACATGCTATGCACGAAAAGACTCCACCTGTGAGAACACTGCAAGTTGTTTGCTACAGACATATGATGTGCTCCTTGTGTTGACGTATATTTGTAGGGAAGCATCTGCTGCAGAAAATTGCAGAGTTGGTACCAAGACATCCAGAGAGAGTGAAGAAGCAGGAAGCTCAGAAAGCGAAGAAGCAGGAACCTCAGGCCACAACTTCATCCTCTGGAACTTCTTCAAAGTCAGGCAAAGGTGGCAAGAAGAAGAGATAAAACTAGAAGTATTAAGGAAGTTCTTTTCATTTACTTTGGCTGGCTTCTTTATATCAGAATTTGCAATTGCTTCTGTATTCTCTCACTTTGGTGGTTTCCATCAAACATATCAAGGTCATGAATATGCTCTTGGTACACATATTTCTAAAAAATGCGGTACAATACAACAACAATTGTCAATACTTAAAAGCTTAAAGGAAAAGAAGAGCTCTCTGGCTCCATCTACTATCTCATTTAATCAAAAATTAACCCAAGACCTGTCCATAGACATGAAGAATCCCGAATGCATTGCCTGATCAAGGCTCGTAAACTTCAGGAAGACGAAGCCCTACACTAGCTGCAGATTTATTAAGCACTCGTTTCATTTCTTCAGTTCTATCAACCGCAATGTTGTATGAGAACAACAAATCCTGCAACAACCAGATAACTTATCCATGTGAGACTAAAGTCACTAAACACACAAAATGCATTGATGTGCAGATATAGCCAAGCTTCTATAAGACAAATGGCCAATGTGATACAGAAATCTTAAAAAAGACTTCACCTTGTGAGAGTGAATGCTATTGAGAAGATAAGTGTAATTGCGGGCAAGGTTGATAGTCTCCGAGTTTGCATTCTTCCGGAATTCTTGCTTCACAAAGTCAATGAAATGAGACTTGTAATCTTCTTTACCAACATGTTTCACCACTGCTTTAAGAAGCTCACGATAAACTCTAGCAGCTATAACAACTTCACCACTCATCTTCTTCTTTCTTTACTTATAAACACATTTCAAAGAGAGACATAAATTTCGGGTTTCTAACTCCGAATCGAATCTGAAAATTCCAAGTTGAGAAACCTCAAAAGTTTTGTCCTTTCAAAAACCCAATTCTTTAACAACTAAATATACAAAAACTCAGACTCGATTACAACAGTGGACAAATCGAAACAAAAAGTTGGAATCGATGATTGAACGAATAATCGAGATCGAATCAGGAAAAAAAGGCGAATTGGGAACAAATGAATCCGAAGAATGGGTCTTTTCGAGTCTGTTCAATAGAAGTAAGTGAAGAAGATTACCTTGAATCTCGCCGGCACCGATCGGATAAAGTAGACTGAGAGACAAAATCCAGCGGTCAAAGAGAAGGAAGAATCAGGATGTGACGAAGATGGACTTAAATTTCTTAATGGGCTTTTGAAAGCAGCACAGGCCCATAATATGAGAGGACTTAGAAGTTAGAACCCTTTTTTTTTTTTGTTTGGTTAAAGAACTTAGAACATTTTCAAATAACTTAACGATTTTAAACTCAAATAGTTAATTACTAATTCATATGTTGGATAAAGTTTAAAATCGTTAAGTTATTTGAAATTAGGGAAAAAACCCGAAAAAACCGCCATCTATTTTTTTTTGGCCGTTTAATACGCGTGTTATTAAAGTTGGAATAAAAATGCATGGTTTAATTTCAATTGCCTTTTAAAATCGTCGTGTTTTAAAACTTGGTATAATCATACACCCGCGTTAACAGTCGTTAACTCTACTAACGGAATGACTAACCGCGGTTAATACTTAACCCATGGTGTTAACGTGTATATATATACAATCTCTTTTTAAAATTTAACGAATATATCGTCTTAGTCAAGTGGCTAAACGTTTTCCGACTACCCTAGTGAACCTGGGTTCGATGCCTCCCGTCGTCTCTTTTCATATGTTTTTAATTTTTTCTTTAATTTTTTTTTTAACTTCATTATAAATGAGCGAATTCATCCGAGGAAGATTAAAAGACTGATCTTTTATCTCCGGGAACGAATCAAGAACGTCGTCAAGCTGAGACGAAGAAGACGATGACGACCCATTCGTGCTATGCTCTTCACGACAAGCTTGAACCGGGGTAGTAACAGCTTGTCTCTGAGATCCAGATGTTTTCTTGTAAATTCGACACAATACCCAATCATCCAACAAAGAAACAAAATTTAACAAAATTAACGATTTGGATTTCAGTTTTGAAGAATTTAGATCTGGGAAAGTTTCAATCTTTATTTACCTTGGAGCTTCCATGGCTACGAGAATGCTCGATTAAGCGATACTCGTGCATAATCCAGTTTGTTTTAGTGCCTTTGGGAGCTTTTCCGGCGTAAAAAACCAGAGCTTTTTTAATCCCGACACGACGACCATCCGCCGTGATAGTTTTAACATTTTTCCTAATTGAAACCCAAAAGTATAATTATCAAAAAGAGAAGAAGGTAGGCATCGAACCCAGGTCCACTAGGGTAGTCGGAAAATATTTCGTGTATTTTTTGGTTATTTTCGGGTATTTTCCTTTTTTATTAAAATACCCGAACCGACCCGAACCCGAATCGAATTTTTAGAGTACCCAAATGGATCTCGACCCTCTACCCGAATAGATCCGATATCCGAAAAAAAAGAACCGATCGGGTACGGGTACAAGGCCTTCAAGAACGGTATGAACCCATTTGCGGAATGGTCTATATCCGGTTCGCTCCTGGTTCGGTTTATCAAACATTGGAGAAAAAATCAATTTGAGGATTTAGGTTTAACTTGACCTCAAATGACGAACTAGTGCGTAGTGAGTGTGTGCGACTGTGAACTCTCTGCTTCGTCGAGTGTAAGGAGGAGAAGTTACAAAGGTATTTTTCGGCTATAATTCGAATTTGTTTCGTAAAAACCGAAACCCTTTGGAAATTTCACAAATCTTTCGTATTCTTGTTGTTTCCAGGATAAATTTAAGTCGAAAAAGTCTTTATCTTTTGGGATTTTGAGATTCCGGTGTTGACAGGTGAAACTTGTAAAAAAGCAAGTTCTTTGTGGGGTTGGTGAAGAATATATGGACAGCTTTAGTGGGTTGACGGATGATTTGCTCATCAAGATACTGTCATTTGTCCCAATCAAAGATGCAGTGTCTACAACCATTTTGTCAAAACGATGGTTGTCTCTTTGGACATTGTTGCCACGACTTAACTTTGAAGATTGCTGGGTTGATGATGAGGAGAACGGTCAGGTTTACTGCGAAGAGTTGTCGTCGGATTTTGTCTTTGGGACTTTGCTGTTACATAAGTCACCAGTTCTAGAAAGTTTTCGTCTTAGCAGAGAGTCTACATGTAGCGCTTCACAGATTGAATTGTGGGTTAGATTTGCAATTGATCGTTTTGTGCATGATCTTAAGATAAGGTTTGAGTCAGAACATTGCCTTATAAGATTGCCGAGTAGGCTGTTTAGATGTGATACACTCGAGACTTTGGAACTCAAAAATGTTGTCTTTTTGGAAGTTCCTTCTCGGTTTAGCTTTCAATCCCTCAAGACGTTACGCCTTCTATCTGTCAAGTACGCGGATGAGAAATCTTTCATTAGGCTTATATCCAGTTCTGCTATTCTTGAAAATTTGGTTGTAGAAAGTTGTAGTGACGACAATGTGGAGACTTTCACCATTAATGTGGCTTCTCTTTCGAGTTTAACCGTTAGGAATACATTACAAGAGTCTGGGCCTAACTATAGTTTGTTTGTGATACATTCCCGTTCTTTGAAGAAGTTGAATATTGTAGATGAGTGTGGTGAAGTTAATGTGACCGATAAATTGACAGAGCTTGTGGAGGCAAAAGTTCATACTATGGAAACCAAAGGGAATGCTTTGGAATCTCTTACCTTTGTCAAACGTCTTTCTCTAACCTTAGCTTATGAGGTATTTCGTGTTCTCCGTTGTTTATTATGTGGTTCGAACACACTTACATATTGTTTCATTTGCAGGCACATTATCCTATTGGTAGCATTTTTTTTCAGCTTGTGCGTTTGGAGTTCCGCGGATGTGGTGAGAATTGGTCGAATTTGCTTATGCATGTGCTCCAACATTCCCCAGTACTACAATTTCTCAAGCTTGATGTATTGGACGATGGGCAGGTACTTTCATTATTACCCTAAGAGGGAAAATTCCTATATGGAGGCTTATTTCATGTTTGCTTTCCCATTTAGAGGTCGAATCTGATGCAATGCATTGCTACATCACTTGATAACAGAGCAACTGGAATCCTGAGGAAGATGACAAGGTTTGCTGGATGCAACCGAGTTGTGCTCCTGAATGTGTGTTGTACCATCTCAAAGCCTTTGAGTGGACAGCCTATGGAGGAACCGAAGGAGAGAAAGAAGTGGCTATTTATATTTTGAAGAACGCAAGGCGATTAGTGACCGCAACTGTTTGCCCTGACCGAATCAGGGTTAGCACACTTGTGTTTGACGATTTGGAATTTGCAACCAGGGGTTCAAGAGCATGTGAGCTTACAATGGCTGAAGAAATTTAGTGTTGAAACTGTCCAGTATTTAGTTGAACGTTGATTTATATCAGAAGCTATGATAGCTTTATAGCTTCTTATCCTTGCTTGTGCTTTTGGGTTTTGTAGAATATCAGAAACTAATGTGGATTTATTTCATAACTCCATAAGGTTATTACTTATTAGCTTATTATGTCATCCTTACAGAAACTAATGTGGATTTGGCCTTCAGGCTTGTACATGGTGTTTGTTATATGTCTGTATTTTTACCAATCTGTCCCTATCTATGACGCAAGAGCTGATAGGTCTGGTAATCTGGTTCATGGGCCAGTTTGAGAAAACCAATTCGGAATTTAGGGTTTATCTCAATTCTCAAATGACGAACTGGTGAGAGTGGACTCTACTTCTCTGAATGTGAAGAGAGATTGGATTTTGAAGCCGTGGGTACTAACACCAATCTAAAGTGATCTGTTTCTTTGTCTAAAATTTTTTTAAGCCATGGGTCAAAAGATTGGATTTTGAAGCTGTGAGTACTAAAACCAATCCAAAGTGATCTGTTTCTTTGTCTAAAGACTGAAGAAGTAACAATGTCTTGTCTAAAGACTAATGTTTTAAGCTGTGGGTATTGTTTCTTTGTGTAAAGACTGAAAGACCAAACCGAACATGATCCATGTCTAGAGATTTTCAAGCCGTGGGTACAAAGAAGGATCAATGTCAGAATCAGTCTCAGTCTAAAGACAAATTACAAATGTTTTAAGCCGCAGGTACCATTTTCCTTCCACCAAACATAAGCCCATCCAATCTTTTGTCTAAAGGATTGGTTTTTTCGAATCTCAGTCTCTGTCTAAAGACTGATGATGTTTAAGCCGTGGGTACTGTTTCTTTGTCTAAAGACTGAAACAACGAACCGAACATGATCCATGTCTAGACATTTTCAAGCTGTGGGTACCAAGAAGGATCAATTTCCGAATCAGTCTCAGTCTAAAGACAAATGCTTCAAGCCTTGGGTAACATTTTCCTTCCACCAAACATAAGCCCATCCAATCTTTTGTCTAAAGGATTGGTTTTTTTGAATCTCAGTCTCTGTCTAAAGACTGATAATGTTTTAAGCCGTGGGTATTGTTTTTTTGTCTAAAGACTGAAACAACAAACCGAACATGATCCATGTCTAGAGATTTTCAAGCCGTGGGTACCAAAAAGGATCAATGTCCGAATCAGTCTCAGTCTAAAGACTAATGTTTCAAGCCGTGGGTACCATTTTCCTTCCACCACAATCCAATCTTTTGTCTAAAGGATTGGTTTTTCCGACTATCAAGTCTCTGTCTAAAGATTGATGATGTTAAGCCGTGGGTACTAATTCTTTGTCTTAAGACTGAAACACTAACCGAACATGATCCATGTCTAGAGATTTTCAAGCCGTGGGTACCATGAAGGATCAATGTTCGAATCAGTCTCAGTCTAAAGACTATTGTTTTAAGCCGTGGGTATCATTTTCCTTCCACCAAACATAAGCCAATCTCAGTCTCTGTCTAAAGACTGATGATCTTTTAAGCCGTGGGTAACTTGATCTTTGACCAGTAAACCGAAACCAAAAATAAGCCGTGGGTAAAGGATTGGTTTCCAGTCTCGGTCTAAAGAATATACGGGTCCAAACTCGACGGGATAATGTCCCCAAAAAAGAATCTGACAGAGCACTAATAGTTCAGTGTCTGTGATCTCTCTTGGGTTTGAAAGAAAAACAAAACAAGAAAGAAAACAAACAAAACAAAACAGAAAAACACAGAGCAACAAACCACAACCGATATAAACAATTTCACGCTTTATCAGATTATCGAAAGCGCTACAAAAACAAAACAAAGAAAACGAAAACCAAACCGTTTGTAATAATTCAAAGAAAACTTTGAAACGCAGAGTCGCGATTCGTTTGGTTTTCAAATTACCAAAGCCGCTTCAAAACCAAAACAAAAGAAAACTGATAATAGTGAAATTTAGAAACCCTAGAAATCAAGAGAATTGGAAGATTTCTTACAGTGATCACAACTACAAATCTTCTTCGGGTCATGAATGATTCGATCGACAGAAACCCTAGAAATCAAGAGAGTTGGAAGATTTCTTAGAGTGATCACAGCTACAAATCTTCTTCGGTTATGAATTATTCGATCAAGAGAAACATACGAAACAGAGAAAGAAGAAGGAAAAATCAAAACTTTGAGAAAATTATGTCTCTGTTGAGTCTCTTTGATAAGCTTCCTTTTATAACAAACACTTTTTTACTTATGTCGGTGCCTAATTTCCTTTTTTCTTTAACAGTAACTTTCTTCTAATTTCCTTTTTTTAACCGTAACTTTTTTCTAATTTCCTTTTTTACTTATGTCGGTGCCTAATTGGAGTAGTTAACATCAGTAACTTTACTCTTCTTTTTTTGTAGTTTCCATTTATCAAAGAAGGCCTTAAGTTAGCCCAATTAAATTAAACTAATGGGCCGATTACCCTGCCAATAGTTTTTTGCGATTATTTTTAGCTTCTGTTTGTTTTTGGGAATTAATTAATAGAAAAAGTCAAATACTACAAAACTTACAATTTTTCATCTAAATCCCAAACGAATTTTCACTACTTAATTATTTTAACGAGTTTAATAAGGAAGGAAAAACAAGAAGAAAAAAAAAGAGAGTTTTGCTTAATTTTGATTGATATATGATATATGGATCTGTCCACAAACAAAAGTTTTGTAACCAAATGTAAGGACGTTTTCTATTTATCAATCACAATAAAATGTTTTCCAGTAATCAATCAACTGCAAATCAAATTCCTATGAACATTAATTTGAAAACTTACTATTTTTGAAATACTAACCTGTATATTTCTGACTTAAACTTGCAATGCTTTCTGACTTAAACCTTACATGTTATGAAGACTTTGAGAACTTTTTTGTTTGAATTATGTGTTTACTAACTCTCATATTGCGAATTCTCTCCAGTACTAGATCGAGCAAGTGTACTTAGATTAAAAATTTTAGGAGTTGTGCCCATATCTTCAAAAATATATACATTTGCTTCAAAAATATGCCATGTGAAAGCTTAAAAGGTATTTGCTTTTTGGTCGCTCTCACTCCGAAAAAAGGAAAGTAAATTAGTAGCTTTATATTGCTTTAAGATTAAGATTCCGATTAATATAATCTAGTTTCTTAATAAAGAAATAAAATAGACAAATAATAATAATAAGAAATTTTATTGATATTCGAATCGAATGAGTCAAATTCAACAACGATACATCAAACATAACCAACATAAAATCAGCTACAAGATGTCAAGAACTCAAAGAGACACAAACAAGATCAGACTTAAACATCAATTAATTAGTTGATTTTACTTAAAACATAAAAAGCAAAGAAGAAACTTCTTAAAAGAGAAACCCAAAGGCCATCACCGCCACGGAGGCAAAGAAAGTAGGGATAAATGAGGAAGCATCGGAGGTAGGGCTCGGCGCGGGAGCGTCAACCGCTGCAACCGTCTGTTGAACGGTAGAGAACGCTATCATTGCCACCAAAACCGTCACGAAAAGCTTCATCTTCATTGCCTCCATTGTTAGTATTGCTTTGGAATTGAGACTTGGAGAGAGCAAATGAAGAGAAGAAAAGAGGTTTTGGTGCCTATTGTTGTTTTTTATGCGTGGCTAGTGAATTACATTTGCTAGTGTTTATATACACGAGTACGCATGTAAGGCCAAGTGTGTACATGTCACTTTACACCAACGCATTGAATAATTTAAATTTAATGATGTTAATATATAATGTTTATTATATATCCCACTAAAAATTTAATTTAATCGTTAGAATGTTATATAATAAATATGTTATGTTGTACTATGGAATTGATCTATGACACGTAAGGTTTTAGTTCATCAACCATGTAAATAAATAGTTGCAAAAAGAAAGAAATAGTTGGAAAGAACACTGCGCACTATTTTGGACGGTATAATTGTTAATCAATTACGGCAAACTAAATTTTGTTTGTTAAAGGATTCATCAAACTTTTGCGAGAAGATGAAGTCGAACTCCCATACTCAAAAATCTGTAAATATGATATTCTCATTTGTTATAGAATATCCAAGTATATACACTAATCTTCTACAATCATCATAGTGTAATTTCAATTTCAAAATAATCAACTATTATTGTTTACTATTTTAAGAGTTAGGTTTCATATTTTCCAATGTGCTCATTCAATGAATGTTTGTTTTCTTTCTCCAAATGATCTTCTTTCCTCTCTTGGTACACTTCATCTGTATGAGATTTGTCCATAATAAAAATGATTAACAAATTTAATTTGGTGTGTGAAATGAGTAGATATGAGAGATGCAATGAGCTGTTTAGTTGTTTCTTATAGGTAAAGAAGATGGAAATTGGATTATGGTTCCATGTGCTCCAAGTAACATGATTTGGCCTAACCCATTTTCCCGCAAATTATTGTTCTCTTTTCTTTCTCTATTATTTTCCCATTTTTAATTTCGTTATTAGTGAATTGATACTCGATTTGGCGTATCAATTTTTCGGCGTATCAATATTTAACTCCAACATTATTATCAGCTTATATATTTGATACTTATAAAATTTAACAGCTTAATAATGATTATTTAAATTTATTTATGATAAACAAATTTTTTGACATCCATCATCATTATTCATTACCCACTTAAAGTTGAAATGACATTTCACTGATTAACAGGATAATTAGGTGGTACAATGAATCAAACCTCCATCATAAGCAAAAGGCCACAAAGGAAATACTCTAACTCAACCCAAAGGTCCTTAACCTTCGTATCTTAAATTCTTAAAGGTCACTCCTACTTGAATTCTAATTCTCTCTTTCACACTTACAAACTAAAGTTTTTTTTTTTCCTAAAGACAAACTTGTTCACTTCCAACTCAAGTAACAAATAAAAACCTTAAACCCCAAAACCAAAACTAAAAACCTAATCAAAACCCAAAAAAAATCAAAATAGTCTCCAGGTAAAAACACACACACACAGTAAAGTGTAAGGAAAAATCAACAAAAACGATATTTTCACACTTCACATAATAAGGAAAAATCCAGCACAAGTGTTCCTCTACATCTTCAATCATCTTCTTTCTTTTGTTCATCTTCTACTGACAATTAGGGTTTCTTCCAGGACCTCCATAGTAAAAATAATGTCCCCAATCATCGTTTTTACCAACCTCAACATCATAGCAATTTGATTTCTCAGTGAAAGTGTTGAGCCCTTTTGGTTCTTTCAGATTATTTGAGCTATCAACGACTTGAATATTTCTGAAGTAACTCGCTTTCGTGAACCCTTCATCAGGAAATTGACCGCTTCCCATTTGTGTGGTTGTGTGGTGACCATCTTCTTCCATGTTCACTACTTCTCCACCCCATTCTACTATTGATGCACTATCAGCTAAGTATGAGAATAGAAAGCTTGGCCAGTATCCCAACACATACCCGTCCCCAAACTGCATCCACCAGTGACCTTCTTTCGGATCCTACAAGAAAAATGTTCCGGAGTTATCGGATTTTATTCATCAGATACACTCACAGATCCATAAAGATAATATCATTGAGGACAAAATGGTGCTATGTTAAAGAATTTCATGAAAAAGGTGGTTCTTGAGAGAAGCTCGAGAAATGGAAACCAGGTTGATTCATCAGACGCAATCATTGATCCATAAAGTTTGCAGTTCTGAGGTAAAAAGATGAGATTTTGAAGAATGCCCTGACAAGAAATGGTACTTTGAGAGGAGCTCTAACAAATAAAAACTGGTTTTTACCTTCCAAATGGTGATACTAATATCATATTGTGGGTTATGGAAGCCAGATACAGGAGAAATACTGGCTCCCATTGCTATTTGACTGTTGATTTGTATAAAACCCGAACAAAGGAGATTGTAGCAGCCAGTAGCTTGATAAGCATCGCTCTGTTTTGTTCCAAGAAGACATATCCATACAAAATATGTTAGCTCAAAAGGCATACTATACTCTCAGTGAAGAAAGATTTTCAGTTTTTTTTCTGAGCTTACCGTCCAGTATGTGAAAAGCCTTGTGTTGTTATCGCCATATAAATCTGGACTAACCTGAATCGATATATATGTCAGTGAAGCTAAGAACACAAGTGTAATTGAGATTAAGCTAAAATGTTATGACATTATATAGGTGCTTACCTGCCAACCAGCTTCAATGCTGTTGAGATCTTGACCAAAAGAACCTCCAAGAATCCATAACTGAGATAAGCTGAACTCATTAGAGTTTTGCACTTTGGGTTCCCATACATTTATTGTCGCCTTGGCCCCGTAAAACTTGCCTCCTTCCACATATGCTATGGCGTGCTAGATCCCCAACAAATACCAGATCAAAAGCACATACAAAAGAGAACTCTTTTAGATCAAGAATTCACACAACACATCGTTATATAGGTAAAGATCACAAAAGTCTACCTGATGACCACTTTGGTTGATAAGATCAGGATCAGCAGATCGGGGCAGAGGAACAGACCGGTGCTTCTTCCTCCCATAACGTTTAACAGAACTCGCCCTCAAGACATCCTCTTTCTTTGTTCTCCTCACTGGTATTGTCCCTTCAGAACACACTCCATTCTGGTGCCATAACTGAGTTACTGGATTGACTCTCTCTTTTGGTTTCTCAGACACTTTGCTCTCATCAAACAACGATTCTGGAGAGTAACTAGGTTTCATCTGTTTAAAAACACACAATATGTTAAGACATAAGCACAATGAGTGTGAATGTGAGGCAAATGCTGAAATTTTTTACCTGAATCTTGTGATCTTTGAGGAAAGGATGATCAAAAGCTGGTTGCTTAGATATATGAACACAGTCTATTATGTCACCATCTGGACTCTGTACACACAACATAGGAGAAATTCTAAATCAATGTGTTGTTAAAATTTTCTTATAGTTATCACAAGTTCCAAACTTTCCTACATTTTCTCACTAACAAGTAACAACTAAACAATGAAACCAAAGTTTCCAAGAAAAAAATAGGAACTTTGCAGGAAACTTTGAAGGATTAAAGCCAACATTTAGGGATTTTTTAAGTAATCATCTCCACACACATAAAATCTGTATTACTGAACGAATTAAGCTTGGTAACAGCCAAACAAACAAAGACAAAAATTGAAAATGGAGATTAAGAGAAAAAAGATTCAAGAACCTGAATGCTCTTAACGGCTGGTTTATTCAATCGATTCAAGTGTTTATGCACTTCAAGATTCTGCTTTGAAACACTGAGTCTCCCTGCGCATGTTAGAGAGAGCAGTCCCCAAAAGCAGAACCAAAACAGAAACCCTCCGAAAACCCTCTCCTTGCTAAAATGCGCTGCAGCACCCATCTTAAGTCTAAAGCCAAGAAGAAGAGACAGAGAGAGAGAGAGAGTGTGTTAGAAAGGAAGAAGCTTTTGGGTAGTGCTTCTCAGTTATCTTAAGGGAAAGGCTTTATTTGGTGTGAAGTGTTGAAAAAGCTAGCACCTTTATAATTATCTTCTTCTTCTACTAGTAGTAGTAGAGAGCTCTAACTCTGTAACCCACCACCACTAACACCAGTGATTCTGCAATGACATTTGAAGTGGGTCTCTCACTCTCTCTCCTTTGATGATGAAAAGTCTCCACTTTTTTTGTCACTCTCTCTCTCTTTTTTTCTTGTCACATATTCTCCCTCTCTACTTTTAATTATCACTAAATAAACATTTTCTGGGTAATTAAAAGACAACTAATGAGTAATGACCAACCTTTTTAATTTATGTTACTGCCCCTAAAAATATTACGAATACGAAACCGTCTATAGAATGATTATTCGAAAACCTTTTTTTGTAAAAAAAAGTGTCAGCCTTGGCTTGATTAATAATGATTTTTTGAGGTAATGGGTATTCAAATGATTATTTCATAATAATTCTTCCAGATTTTTTTTTAAGAAATTGGTGAATAAAATGAATCATTAAGGAAAAAATGGCTTTATTTAACTAAAAATGCGTAACAACATAACTTTTTATAATTAATCTTACAAAATTGTTGAAATAACAAAATCTGAAAAAAAACATAATCTAAAATAAGATGCGAGTGGAGCCCATGAGTCATGGCGAGATTGTCGATGCAACTTCTTGTGAAAATTTCACGAGCCTCCGCTCCAAAGAGCGACTAACCAAGGTTCCAATTTTACCCCTTTCTATTTTACTATATGAAATGGTCCTTGCATTAAATTGCATCTAACCAATAATATCATACTATGTAGAAACATGATGTTTTCAAAAATTAAATATTTGCGTACTTTTCAAGCATATATTCCTCTTTATGCTATTGTTTCTTTCTGTTAAATTTATAATTTTGAAAACGAATAAATTCTGAAAACATCGTATCGAACGATGTTATTAAATTAAAAGATAAGATAAAGAAACGAGAACAAAGGTCTCTGCTAAAAGTATCAACTTTATCAGTAGTCTTACAAAAAAATATTGTTTCTGAGTTTTGACCCATCATACTACTGGTCGAATAGCTTATTGCTTTTTGTTAGCTACACAGATTATTAAACAACTAATACTTAGCTTTTGTTTATCACCTATAGTTAAGATGGATGTTCCAAATACGCTAGTATGTTAAAATGACAAAGAAATAAGTAAATATAAAGCAGCTTATACGTAAAAGTTATTTGATCATTAATAGTGTGGTTGGTCATAAAATTATACTACTAATAAACTAGGTAATGGTAGTTCAATGATCATCGTTTTTATTTAGTCTAGGTTAAGAATCAATGTTCTTTGAACACATTTTTTACCACAACAAAACATGGAGTCATCTATTGTAGTGGTGTAATTTGAGAGCTAAATTAAAATAGATATTGTTACAATACATACGAGAGTTGCCTCGTAATGATAATGTTTGTCTTTTGTTTGGTTACAAATAGTTTCAATCAATGGAGTAGTAAGTAAAATGGTAGTATTATGATGGGGAAGCAGACACAAGATTCTGTCTCCCGATGAAGCTGTTGGTCTTCTTTCTTCTGTTTCGGTTTGCTCGCCGTTAACAAGGGAAATGGTATCGCCGTTTATATTTTGACGGTGTTTATCTGGTTACGATCGATGACACGTGTACGGTGCGTAGCGTTATATATTATCGATGAAGGTCAGGTAAAAGACGGAAGAAAGATCTAACGAACGGTGGGGAATCCAATGAGTCAGTCAAACTGTATGTAGCAGAGAGTATCATTATGAGATTCCCACAATAAAGAGATTTTTACTTGGTAAATAAATAAATCTAGGCTTTATCAAGTGGAGTAATATGCAATTTTAAGTCTTTTTATTTATCTTTCAAAGTTTAAAACCAAAAAATTAATCAATTTAAATGCTAAAACTCAAGCTGACAACAAAATGCTAGAACTCTATAGTGTATTTTCTTCTAAAAGTCAACAGTAAATTTAATAGTATGAAGAACGAGATTTATGAGATGTAATTAAAATCTTACTCCCTCCGTTTCAGTTTAGTTGTCGTTTTAGGATTTAAATTTTGTTTTATAATAGTTGTCGTTTTAGGTTTTCAATGCAAATGTTTGGTGAAAATTCCAGTTTTATCCCTACAGTTTTAATGTTTTGGCCAATGAAATTTTTTATAAAATATATTAATAAAGAGTAAAACAGAAAATTTAATGCTTTCTTAATTTGTGTGAAAAAACCTTAAACGACAATTAAAACGAAACAGAGGGAATACTACTTTTTTGGTTAGATAGCTTTGAGTAGGTTAGGTAGTAGAAAAGATGAGCTTTTTTCATGTTTCTTTCTGATTATTAAAGAAATAAAGTCTTAACTAATTTGGCCATCATCCTCGTTAATCACCACCCTTGTCTTTTCTACTTTTTTAATTTATATAATTATTACTAGTAAAAGTTTATAATAACGTGCGTGCACTAAACAAACAAGTGATTAATTAACCAAAATTACCCATCAAACGGTTCAGTATATCCAGAAAATCCCCTCAATGCTAATCAGACCGTTGGTTACACCAGGTTTCTTAAAAAGAATTGCCGTTTTTTGGTTTCATTATATATAAATAAACACACAACTTTGAGGCAATTTTGGAAAATGTCTCTTTTCACAACTCAATACTTTTTTGTCCTCGACTATTTTGGACAAATGTCCAAGTGGATCCTGAGAACAGTAATATAATAATATTACAAGGGAAAGTAAAAAAAACCAGTCAGTACAAACTGTCTAGCATGACTGGCCATATCTATAAGTGCAGTGTTCTTACATCAGATAGATTTTGTGGATCTTTTTCGAGGATGTATCAAAATTTCGTGATTCGTCATTGTGGAATCTTATAGATGTTACGTGTTTTCATCATTTCATGAGTAAGTTTTCGTAAGCACGAGAGCTTCTGAAGAAATGCACAGGTAGACTATTGCATTTGCATCCGTATAATTGGACCCCATTGGCAGAGACCTGGCCTGCTGGCCCAAATTTTATTTGTTTTAGGTAATCACTTTGGGGTTTTTCCATTCTTTATCGGGCTGGCCCAAATTATATTCATTTTCAGTTACCACTTTTAGCTATGAAACATATATAAACATGATTCAGTTAGCTATGAAACTCACAATAAAACTAGGATCGGACCCGCATATTAGTATTTATTGATAAAATTATAATTTATTCAACATGTGGTAATTTAAACAAACTTTTAATAGTATTTTTATTTATTTATTTATTTTAGTAGTATTTTAAATTTTGGTTACTTTAAAATTATTTAAACAAAATCTATGGACAATCCCGCAAATCCGCATACATTCGCGGGACGGGTTTGTATTTCATATATGCTACCCGCGGGTCGTGTGGACCGACTATCTACAAGTCAAAATATTTTTTGTCTATCGCAAAACGGACTTAACGGGACGAATCAACTCGCTTTGACAGTTCTAATTGGAATATTATTTAGTCATACAACAAAATGAAGTTTGGACATAGAAATAATAGAATATGTATCTTATTTGTTAGATGATAGATTGAAAGATGAAGTATAATGATTGAAAATTAATTATTATTTTTTATGATTCACAAAATTTAATAAATACTTATCATCTTGTTGAAAAATTCTAAAATCATATTCAAGAAATCTTTATAAATTGAAATTTAAACTTCTTTGGTAAGCTATAGGTATGAAAATATCATAATTTCGATTTAATCTAATTAAATTAAAATTAGTTACATGGATTTCATATCTATTTAATTTACACGACCAGAATAAAAATATCTATTTAATTTACACGACCAAAATAAAAATATCAATTTAATTTATAAAACAGATGGGTTATTTGTGATAAATTTTCTAGAAATCTTTAGAAGCAAGTAAAATATCTTTCAATTAATGATAATTGGCTAAAATGAGCGAAATTAATGACAAAAACATTGATTGTTATGAAATTAGTCCCAAAAATATATGAACAAATTTATTATACGTAATTAATATATAATATTGTTCGGAATATGCTTGTATTATTAGTTACCATAAGTACAATCAGATTTTATTTGATTTCCATAAATATTTGATTTTAATTCGATTTTTCATTATTAATTTGAATTTATATTCCAAAAAAATTTCAAAGATCCGATTTCAGAATTTCGGGTCAATTTTCTGATTTTAACCCCACCCATTTTCATTTGTACTTCTCTTTTAATAGTATAGAGATTTCCCAGTTTGTGTTAATTGATTATAATTGGTGTAGATAATTGGGTATTACCACAATCTGACCTCAGACGAATCCAAAATTAACTGACACATTTATGTACTATTGTAGTTTACGGTGCTGGTGTAAATTGACATAAATAACCTTACAAAATAATTGTGTAGATATTTGTGAAACCTCTCTCATCGTTGTTTTCTCCTTCGATTCTGGGCACTCCGACGCATCAATCGATCGTCACAAGCACCAACATCAAACTCGTCCCATCTCTGGCAAGCCACCATACCAACTCTTATCCACTAATCTTTGATGCCTCATATGAATTTGAAATCCAAAATCCTCGAAGTTGTTGGCAAAGTATCGCTAGAACCAGATCTACAATGGCCAATCAAATTTTGTTGATCGGCAAAATCGAATATAATCCTCCATCTTCGGCATCTGCGGCGGTGAAAAAGCAAATCGCCACTGTAATTGTTTTGTAAGCTTTCTATAAAGTGAGAAAACTTATTATTTTCATTGTTATCAGGGTAACATTGTTATTAATTATTATTAGCAAATATTATATATGAGTTACACGTTAATATAAATATTACCCATATCGACTATTTTATCATGTTCATATAAATATTATTCAGATATTAAATATGTTAGCACGTTAACATTCTATATAACATGTTATTATAATTGTTATCATGTTCATGATGTAACAGAAAGACTAATTCTTTTTTATTGAACTGATATATACATAAATAAAAAGTACTGATTCATAATTTAAATCGATAAACATGTAATTAACACATAATATGTAAATTTATCGTGATATCATATGTTTTAGCATGTTAACCAAATAGTTACACACTAAACAAACAAATGTTTAACTATATCATCTGATGAATAGTATTATCGGTCTTGTATGAACAGTGTCAGCGAGCGGTTCATAAACAGTGTAACCGGTGTATTACATTGGAAAATAATTTATTAGATCAATGGCATTTTGTGTAATTAAGTTAAATGGGAAGGATATTTATGGTTTACTTTTGTTTTTTCTTTCCTACATACTTGATTTTCAAATTATTAACTAGATTTTACCCCGCGGTACACCGCGGGTCGATTTTTTTATAACTAAAAAATTATTTAGCAAAATTTTAAGTTGTATTTGTTTTGTTAATATTGTTTATTTTGTTTAGTGTTTCTGATTTTATAATTAAATTTTGATTTTTAATTCTAAGATTTCATCCATAGTATATTGTTTAATATTAATATCGATCTAAACCCGTTGCACCATATAACCCCGTTCCGTAAAATTAAACATCATTTGTTATTTTTTTGGAATAAAATTTTTATCCACTACGGGTCGCAGGTTCATGCGGATAAGCCGGTAGAGAGTTGCGGGTTTGCGTGTCGACCCGCCAAAAGAGAAGCTATCTTTTGAAACTTTTTGTTTTATTTAGAGGTTTTGAGAAAGTATCCCTAAAAAATAATTTTCATTATATGAAAAAAAAAAAGAAGTAGAAGAAATTGTAATATCAACATTCCCGATTTTTACATCACTCGTTACTATTAATTTTTTTTTTTGCAGATAAAAATCAGAAGTTAACTAAGTCGAGATTTTTAAAAAGATTGTGTAGAGATTTTTGGTAAATTATTGAGAACATATTTGATTTCAAAATCTTTACTTAAATAGATAAAGAAAGATTTTGTAGAGACTTTTGCTAAATATATGAGAAATGAATTTCATTTAAAAATCTTTACTTAAATAAAACAAATCTAAATAATTAATGCTAATGGCATGCCATTGTAAATACTTATCAACTTCAGGATTTATTTGCTAATTGTGATCCAAAAATGTATATATAGATGCTACAAAACTAATAAACTATTCTTTTATGGTTTTAAATTTTATTGACCCTAGATAATTTAAGAAATGAAACATAGCACCACATAGAAAAACTGAAAACATCTATTTCTGTGAAACAAAAACAAATTCTAATAAACACCTTAGTTGAAGAAAACAAAGGATTAGATATTAAGAGAAATATTAAATCTTCTCAAGATTTGAAAACTTTTACAATTTAAGTACAAAGACATTTCATCCAAGAAAAATGACAACAAAATCTTGAACTGGATTCCAGAAAACTTCTCCAACCTGCAGGAAGAAGACCAGCAAGAAGTACATTAGTAGGAGATCTCAAACTTTGATGTCTGATCTTTGACAATAACACATCATCATCATCATCATAATTCTAACATATGCAACAAAAGGTTTGAGACTTTTACTAGAAAATCAGCCCAAATGAAATTCAATTCCAAATAACACACACACACTAAAGAGAGTTCAGAGAATTGATAAATGTACCTTGCCTTATCCCGAGATCACTCGTCATTTCGGTTGAGCAACATATAATTCACAGCAAACTGTCCACAGTATTGCAACAAATGATCTTGTAAAATCACACAAGAATAAGAAAGTCCTTGAACTTGATCATCCACAACAGTTTCTGATAACATGAAAGTATGCTTACCATAGATCACATCTAAGGATTATGCCCTTTAACCTTATAGGTCCTTCACGAATACTATTTATCGACAAAAGACTGAAATCCTAGCTAAACTTCATTATGATGAGCTCCAAATCCTTAATCTACACCCCTCCTACTTACAATCATATATCTCCCAATTCCAAATCCTTAATCTCCACCCTCCTAATTCCACTAACTAAACATTCCTAGGTCAAATCGATCTTCCGAAAAACAGAATAAACTCGAATTGCTAGATAATATGGACAAGTAATAGATCAAAGCAAGCTCCTTTGACTCCTCAAGATGATGAAACCTAAAACTAAATTTGCATCACCAAATGTTCAACATCTTCTCTGATTCTATAAGCAATGATTTAAAAACCACACTTTGATTATATCCAACAATCCCAAGAAATGAAACCCAATAACCAAAACAAGAACTTTCACTATACAAAAACAGGAAAAGTAAAAACTTTACAATCAACAACAATCGGAAATTTGGTCACTCCAAATGAAGATGATAGTAATTATGATGATGAGTAACATTCGAAGAAGACGAAGATGATCCATAACCATCATCGTCATCATCACGACGACCATCAAAATATAAAATCTCTGGAGGTGGAACACAGATATAGTTCCAGAACCACAAAACGAATCGACCCAATTGCTGTAGCGGAAAACAACAAACGAGTTGCAACATCTCTCCGCTGCTGATTCGATCCGATTGTGGAATTAAGCGAAATCGCTGAAAAATCTCCGCCGATAAATGAGCTACGGACACCACCGTGTCGCCACGGAACACCATGTCTTTGCTGCAGAATCGTCTTATCTCAACAAAAATCGGTTATTTTTCTTCTTCTTTGTATTCACAATCATTTGTCTCTGTGTGTGTGAGTAAAGGTGGGATTTTTCCATTTCACATGATTCGGTTCGGTCCTAAAGAAATTTTTTTGAACCGATTCGATTTAAATCCAAGTGAAAAATACGAACCAACTTGGTTTAGAAAGGTTAAACCGAATAAAATAAGATTTAAATTTCTTTAAATGATATATTTGATAAATAATCGATTTTAAACAAAAATAAAATTGTATCAAACCGATTTATAATAAATTTCATTACTGTAGTTATTATTTTTTTTTTCAGTAAAACCAAATAACAAAGACATATATATATATATATATATATATATAGTTGTGTTGTCATCGTCCTAATACTAATTTACCAGATTCAAATACACAAAAATTCTTGACAAAAAATAAAATAAACCAATTCGGTAATAGAATATTTATTCTATCTACTAAAAAGTCCACAATCAATTGTAGAAACATAAAACCAAAAAAAAAGCCTATTTTTTAGTCTATTTGTGAAACCGATTTATATTTCGTTGTACCGCCTGTTATTGATAAACCGAACGGTTTAAGACCGAACCAAACCATGATTAGACAAAGACACTCGTGGTTAAAAAGAAACTTTGGCTCATCCTCTTAATATAGACAGGTGTCTTAGTCATCAATAAGATGGGGGGGGTTTCAATATTTGAACACTTTATTGTATATTCTAGACACAATCAGTATCATCTTGTTAGACACGATCGTTACACTTTTATTTATTCTAAAAATATTGAATTTCATCGGTCCAACACGTATGAGAAGCCAATAGGCCCAATACTATCATTTGAATCTCGACCATCCATTATTCTATTCAAAAAAAAAAAAACCATTTACTTCTATCACAAGAAACTTAACTCTAAGTTTTGATGATATTTTATATATAATATTAGATATGATCTTTCAAATTGTACAAAGAAAGGAGTCGAAACAGAGGAATTGTAGATTAGATTAAAGCCATTCTTTGAATCTTTAAAACCAAAAACCTGCGAATTATGCTCTTATTACATTACATGTACAAGGTAACTTTACCAACAACAAACACCAACATTTGCTACAAATCTGCAATTGTCAAGGAAAAAAGAAAACAAATTAACGGTAAAATCGAGAGAAAGATTAAAGAGAAAGCAAAGATTTGAGTTTTTTTTTTACCTGCCGATTTACTTCTTCGAGCTAAGTGCGGAGAGGACTTTTTTACCGTAAGGATTGGTACGAAGAGATGAGATATGAAGTTTAATGGCATCAACCAAAAGAGCATGAACATTCCCCTGCAACAATATGATCTTTTAGGGACTTTGATTCTCTATGGACTCAATCTGAATCTACCAGCAAATGTGTTTTTAGTTTACCTTAGATTGTCTAAGAGCTGCTTGAATGACATAATTTCCATAAGGATCCAACATAACTTGATCAAGACGACCATAGTTAATCAATTCTCGGATGATGCGAGCTCGGTGTTTGTCATCAGCTAGTTTCAGACACTTTTCAACTACATTGCTGCTACATTTCTGCATCGATAACTCGGTGTAGTTTCCTTCTAATTGCTCGAGGATTTCAAAGGTTGCCCATTGAAGTTGAAGCTCAAAGACATATTGAAGAACATAGTTCCTGCAAAAAAAGTTTGCATCTTTTCTCCATTATTACAATAATTAGATTAAAAAGCTGAAAGAGAGTTAGAGAGGCATCACAAAGAGTACCCAAAAGGGTCTTGAGAGAGGAGTAGAGCATTTGACGCAATTTCAGAGACTAAGTGTTGCTTTTGTTCGCCTTCGGAATAGCCAAGACATTTTTGAAGTACACAACATCCATGTCGATCAGTTGCAAGGTCAACACAATGAGTAATGGCAGCTTCGAAAAGGAACTGGAGAGAAAACAAATTACTGATCTTTAATGATGGAAACCCATTTTCATAACATTTATGTTTTATGAAAACGGTAACGAAAGTTGTTACCTTGCCGCAGTGAGGTAATAGATACTGCAAGCATCGTTGAACAACGTGATTACCGTTTACATTCTTTATCAAATTCACAATGCCATGCTTCAAAGCAGAAATGATGATTGAAATCTCCTCTTCCCTCTTAGCCGTTTCAACGATCTTTTGAACAGCTCTAGTCCTGTTTAAAATGACAATATCAAGTCAGGTAAAGATCACAACACACAGATTTATATATCCAAAGAAAACTTTTACGTTTTTACCCGTGCATATCACAAGAGATTTTGATTAGCAGTCCTGGTTTTCTAGTTATGGAATGAACAATCTGCATTCTCTGATCCTCGTTGCATACTTCGAGCAGCTTTTGAACCAAATAATTCCCAAAAGGATCTATCATAAGCTCACTGATATAGTCAATGATCTCATCAAAGATCATCTCTATATCATTCCCATCTTTCTCAGCAAATATCCTCTGCAAGAAGCGACAACCGTGCTGATCCTTTGCCAAGTAGTATATCTTCCCTCTTGCCTCTGCAAGAGAGTTATACTTTTGAGGCTGCAATGACAGATTGTTGAGGCTCATTGTGAGATGATCTTCATTGAGTTGATTCTGCAACCAAAATCTTCCATTTTGTGAATCATCTCCAGCACCATACTTTATGACTTTAGCAGTGTTCAAATCGAGCTGTGATCTCATCAAAATCTTCTCCGGATAACACATTTTCCTCACCCCATCCATGTTCCTCACACTTTCATTATCATCTTCTCCATTCCAAAACAAGTTTCTGTTAGACTGTTCAGCTCGGCGATAATCGAAATGCTCCTGTCTTGGAACAGTATCCATGCCCTGATTATTATTATAAAGATGAAGGAAATGAGGGTTCATAGACAAATACTGTTCTTCTTGCAGTTTAAGCCTCTGAAAATTTTCCTCTTCCATATTCCTCCAATTCATAGGAGATTGATAGTGAGACAGAGACTGCGAATGTGGCAGGTAATGCTGCGGCTGAGCAGGTGAGATCCCGGAAGAGAAGTTTGGAAAGCATCCAACTTGTTGCAGCTTCCTGAACATTACCGGATCAAGTTTTCTTGAATCAAACTTGTCATATACACATGGTGAGCTACTTGGTGAGTGGTAAGTAGGATTAATGAACAAAGGATGGGGAGATTCAGGAGCTTGGTTTGGGATTCCAAAGTGTAAGTTAGCCTCAGCAAATGAAGTGGTAAAAGCGCGGTCATCAGGAAGATAATGTCCTTCGAATTGATCCATCTTCTTGATGGATTGTGATGATCTGCTTGAGCTCATACATATAGGGAAATGGTTATAGTCGTTTCCTGAAGTAACTTTTGGAATCTCTCCAAGAAGCTTCTCAAATTCATCAAGCTCATTTCCTCTTCTCTGATCCATCTGAGTAGAGAAAAATGCAAACTTTCACCTCCAAAACTGTGATAGACCAATGATTTTACTCTTGACAACTGCAACAAAGCAACAACAACACTTAAAGCTTAAATCAGATATATAAAAGATCTTAGTGTCACAAGTTGTTGTTCTTATTCTTATTCTAAAATGTAATAATAATCCACCACTAATCAGCAACAAAATATTACTATTTGTCTCTTACTTCAAATCAAGAAAAAAAAACTCACTGCAACAAAACATAAGAACACAGACTGTCACTAGCTAAATCACTCAAAACCATAGACTAAAAAAACAGTAATTTACATGAACATTGTGAGATCAAAAACTAACACATAAATCATGAGTCCTAAGCCAAAACAAAGCGATCAAAATTTTAGATATTCAAAGCAAAGAAACAAATTTTGGATATTTTCATCAGATCAAACTGTGCGGACGATAAAACACAGCCAGAATCTAAATGATCGTAGACAAAAAAAACAAACAAATCTTAGAGAAAGACATGAGTTTTGAGAGAAGAAAAAAAACCCAGTAACAATGTACGACGATCAGTGATGAAAAATCCGATCTTTATGTGTCCGATCAAATCTTCATGCTTTTTAGACGAAACCCACTAGAGAAAAAATCTCACTGACGACAATGACAGATAAATTTGTTCTGAGAGAGAGAAGAATACCAGTGAGGTTGAAGAAGCACCATTAACATATAAAATCACCAATCTGAAAAAGGTGATGATTATGAATGGTAGAAAAATATCTCACACACGCAAAGAGAGAAAGGGAAAAACAAAAGAAAGAAGAAGAAGAAGAAGAAGAAGAGATTTAAAAACCAGAAAATAAAAAGAAGACAATTTTTTTTTTCCTAAAGAGGAAAATAAAACGATAGAGAGATTAATGAAAAAAATTTCCAGGGAAAATTCAGAGGAAAATGCAAAGAGAGTGCGAGAGAGAGAGATAGATATAGAGAGAGTGTTTTATATTTGGTAGGCGGCGTGAAGAAGAAGGAGAATTTTAGAGAGAGTCATATAGTTTTAGTAACAAAATTAATTGATTTGTGTTATAAAAAAAATCGGATCTTTGATTTTTTATTTATTTATTTTAGATATGAGAAATGGAGAATTGAATTAAATTAAAATGGAAAAAATAGATAAAGAAAAAAAGAAGGTGAGAAGAAGAAGAGAAAAAAAAGTAAAATAGGGATGCATGAAAATGGAAAGGTCTTTTATGATATTTGGTCACAAACTTAGAAGTCTCTCTCTATCTTCTTTTGGTACGTTTCTGTCCCTTTTTTTCTTTCGTTTTATTAATGCTCTCTGTTTTCTTCTATATCTCTCTCTCTACATTTATATTTTACGCGTAGTTTGTGTATGTATACACGTGTTTATAACGTACGTTTAGTAATTAATTGGGTTTCTAACGTGATTAATCTAGGAATTATAGCATTAATCTTTGTATTATGTATCCCCCACGATCAATGCTTTTTTGTCATTCGCCAATGTTTTGGTTCGTATCATACCATTATGGAGGATTGGAGGTGATACAAATTTAAAAAGGATATATGCGTCGATTCAAGATTAAACACTTTTGCTTTATGAATTTTGTTTTCACTCTTAATGAAATCTGTAAAAAAATAAGAGTTATCGAAAGATGTGATAGCTTGGTAAGAAAATACTTTCTCTATTCCTAATAGATTTTGATGTTTTGAGTTTTTTTTTTTTATTGTTTTACAAAGATTGATGTTTTGTATCAACATCATTATTACTTTCATTTGCAATTAATAGAGAGAAATATAATTAATCTTTTTAAACTAACGAAAAAATAATAAAATATTTAAAAGTTATTTTTTTCTTAATTTATATGAAAAAATCTTAGAAAGAGAAAAAGTATGTGTTATCACATCTTTCAATCACTTTTACATTATTATTATTTTTAATTAGTTTAATATTTTTTTTTTGTCAACAACACGCATCCATCAAATTCGATTATAATAACCAAATCTGTAAAAAAGCTAATAATGACTGAAAGATGTGAGAACTCAAATTTTTTAGCTAGTTCTTCAATTATAACCTATGCTCAGTATAGAATCTTTTTTTATCAACAACATGCATTTAATATTTAGATTTGACTCAATTAAACGTGTAGAAAAATTAAGGTTCCCTAAGAGATGAGACAATTGATGTATAGTATTTTTCTTACAAACAAAGTATTTAGACATGTCATTTTTATAATTTATGACAATTATTTTATAACATATCATTTTATAATTTAAACATTTTAAGTTGTGTAGAATTAGTTTTTTTTTTGTTTGTTTGGTAATAACATAATTATTCAGACAAATAGTTTAAACATTTCATACAATTAGTTGAAAATGAATGAGTTTTGCTAATTTGTTAATTATTCCAACTTCAATCTACATGTAAAAAATATTTCTCTCACTCGGCTTTGTATTGCCACCATGAAATCTATTTCTTTTCTTTTCAATTTTGAATGTCTCGATTTCGTTAAAATGACTCATAACAAATTGCTACGCACTAATAAATCAAACGTTGAAAAGAAGTTTCTAGGAAGACTACTAAATTGTTGCCGTTTACCTTAAAATCATTATCAACTTGGAGCATCTTTATTTGTAGTGTTTCACTCTTTTGAGTAATAGTAAAGAATATTATTTTATACTAATTTGTAAGTTCGGAGAAAAATAAATAAAACCGTAAACATCTCTAAAAATAGAACAGTTAAAGTCTTGAAAAAACCTTTTGTTTTTGTTAATTGCTTGAGAAAATAACTTAGAGCAACCCCAATGAGGGTATTTTAGTGGGTTTCTCTGATTTTAAATAATAAAAAGTAATAGATATGGATGAAAGATAAAGAGACAAAGTTCTAAAACAAGAATTTTTGGAAAGAGGTTGAGAAACTCAAGTGACAGATGGCATGATATAACTTGTCAATTTTGTTATTTATGATCAAAAATATATAAAAATAAATTAATTATATTAAAATAATTAAAATATTATTTTTAAGAAACTGATAAGGATTTTAAGTTTCGTGATACTACCTGACGTATGTTTTCAAATTTTAAGTTTTTTTGAATAACAATATCATGAGTAAATTCGAACTAACAACAGATTCCTTTAAAGTAGGTTAAGCTTTCTAAAGATAAAAAATAAAATATAAAAATCAATCAAATCATTCAGCCGTCAAAAATCATTTTTTTTATTAATATATTATTTATCTTCTTGAAGACGAAAAAAAAAAAGAGAGCGAATAGTGACAAGCACAACTGGAACCCTAATTTGAATAGCTCACAGTCTATCAATTTATTGCAATCAAACATCTTCTCCATTGTCACGTGATCTACAAGCTTAAAACGTTCAATGCAATTCTCAGCTCAAATATCACTTGTTTTGATCTGGATAATAACACGACCGAACTATATGTTTGTCGAGCCAACCAGATTTAACTCTCATCATCAAGTCACCAGAAGTAAAAACATATAATTTACATTGAGAAATAAGTGTTTTAGATCGGACATTGAAGACTCTAGTGGTGGCTTTTGCCTCTTGAAGCTATAATAGTATGATTATAACTAAAACCAAGAGAACCGAAATGGGTTGCTCTAAGATCTACAATAGATATATCCTATAATCGTTTAATTAGAAGAAAAATATGTGGCTAGAATCGTTTAATGTCATTGCAAAAATAGTATAACTTTACTTGCAGTTTCTGAAGTATGATTAACTTTATAAATGCTCTTAAAATTGTCGAAATTTGTTTCTCATCAAATACCCTTTTGGTAGCTTGAAAAAAAACAAAAAAGTTAGCAGTAAGGAAATTTCAAGGAAGACAACTAAGTAGCTATCTCTTGCGTACATTCATCATCAACTTTAAAACTCTAAATTTTGGTTTACAAAAAAAAAGGTTATGAACAAGTCCGAAAAAACAAAAGGTTATGAAAGAGTGTGTCAGAGAGAGAGACTCATAGTTATAGTGGAACCCACTCGAAGCTTTTAAAGTAAGATTGACTTTGAAAATGCTCTTAGAAAATTTCTCTCGTCGATAAATACTTTGTATATATTGAAGAATAAACCAAAACGTTGGAAATAAATTACTAGGAAGATCACTTACTTTACTATATTTCTTCAGTTTGCTGACAACTCTAAAACTCAACAAATGTGGTTTTATAAAAAGATCGATGAACGAACAAGAAATAAAGATTATGATGAGGATTCATATTAGCACTAGAAATGGTTGATTTTAAAAAAAATCTCCAAATTTTTTATAAAAAAACCTATCATTAATAATAGTTTTGTTAAAATTTAGTAGTCTTTTTAAATTCTCAGCTTTACAAATGTTTACATGGTAGTCTTTTTAATGTTTGGGGAACACTTACAAGTAATAGACAATATACTCCACATTATGTCATAGTCTATGCGCTCATGTAAAGAGAATTGTCGAACTAACCAAATAGATTACAATTTTGACTGAGATATAGCGACTGCAACGAACAGAAATCAAGATATATATATTGGCTATGGAAGCCACACACAAAAAAAAAAAATTAGTATTTTGCTTGATAGTTGCTTTTTTTTTTTTGGTAAGGAACCGGGAGACAACAACATTACACGCGAACCCGTCGCGGACGCAAAGAACCTAGCCATTGATAGTTGCTGGCTCATGAGATTTCGTATATATCGCTTCATTTCGTTTTAATTTGAGAGAAAGAAATAAAAAGAAAATGATACTCTAACCAAATCAAATCTATTGACCACTGCAAACTGCAAAATCATATCATTCTTTCGTGAAGGATCATATTGAAACACTTGATCATGAACCAGAGAACACGAAACCAAATTATATGTTTCTTCAGGTCACTGGAAAAACATAATTTTACATTGGCTAAAAGATGTTTCATATCAGGAAATAAAGAGCTTGGTCGTGGCTTTTGCTTCCTCCGAGACTACTCTTACTCTCTTCTCAATTGCTAACTTAGAAGCCGTAACCTGAAAATCGACAGAGATTTGTTGTTAAGAAAATTTGCAGATTTCGCCGATAATTCAGAGGATTCAAGAAGAATAACTAACGAGACATACCTGAATTGTCCATAGGGTTACCAGCAGGAGCTGCTGATTCAGGCTCCTTGATCTCCACAACCACACAATCAGACATCAAGAATGTCTTAGCCACAGATGAAGCATGCTCTAAGCAACATCTCACAACCTTAGATAAGAAAATCTCGGTTAGCACCAGAAACAGAAGATTTCAATCTGTGAAAAAAGTAAGAAACTTTGCTCACTTTGGTTGGATCAATGATTCCTGCAGCCATTAGATCTTCGTATTTGCCAGTTGCAGCGTTGTAACCGTGTTTTGGGTTGTCGCTAGAGAGAACCTGTCAACCGAAAAAAGCCATTCACTTAGTTTCTATAGCAAAAGACTCAAACTTGCAATCTTTATAAGGAGATTGATTACCTTCTCACTGACGACGCTACCATTTACACCAGCGTTCTTGGCGATTAACTTCAGTGGGTAGCTCAATGCTTTCTTAACAATGTCAGCTCCAACCTGAAGTTAGGATGATTTGTGAATTGGCCTAATAACCCGCAAACTCATTATTCATGTTTTCTTTGTTATGTGCAACACTTCGAGACTAACCTTTTCTTCATCGTTTGCTAGAGTCTCTTTAATGGCATCCACTTTCGATGCAAGTCTTAGCAGAGTACATCCTCCTCCAACAACAATACCTTCTTCCACAGCAGCCTAATTTAAAGGTTCAACAAATTAGTCTCTACCATATGATTGAAACATTTCAAGACTCTTTGCTTAGAGATGATATTACCTTTGTAGCATTAAGAGCATCTTCAACTCTCAATTTCTTCTCCTTAAGCTCTGTCTCAGTTTGAGCTCCAACCTAAAGAATATAAAACGTTTAGATTATTCTTCTTATTACCTTTAGTTACGCTTTTTGCATCATGTGATTTGTTTCTTATTATCTCACCTGAATTACAGCAACACCGCCTGATAATTTAGCAATTCTCTCATTAAGCTTTTCCTTTTCATACTCTTGTTCAGCAGCCTACACAAACACAAAGACTTAATCGCCGCAAAATAAATCCATTTTACTGGGAAATTTCAATGTTATTTGAGACGTACCTCAATAAGATTCTTGATCTGTTCAACTCTCTTCTTCACAACTTCTTCAGTACTTCCATCACCAACTATCGTCGTGGTGTCTTTTGTGAGAACAACTTTACCAGCATTACCTAAAACTTCTGGTCCAACTTTCTCCAACTGAAGCCCAACTTCTTCCCTAATCACAGTAGCTATAAAGAGAAAAACAAACACCGCAACTTTAGAAACTAAACATGTCTTTTTGAATATAGAAGCAATAATGAAAAGAACATTTAGTATATTGGTCTAACCTCCTGTAAGAGCAGCAATGTCATCAAGGTACTGGCTTTTCCTCTCTCCAAATCCAGGAGCTTTCAAAGCAGCAACTTTTATTGTACCACGAAGCTTGTTAACAACAAGAGTCGCTAATGGCTCTTGCTCAATATCTTCAGCAATGATCAAAAGCGGGTATCCGCCTTTAATCGCATCTTCCAGAATGTTGATAATGTCTCTAGCATTTGTTATTTTTTTGTCAACAAGAAACAACTACAAAAGCAAGAAGAGACATCAAGTTTAAAAATCTCGTGGTTTTTGATCAGCTATTAAGAGTTAACTAATAAACAATAATAATACCTTGCAGTTCTCGTATTCTGCAGACATTTTCTCACTGTCGGTGACAAAGTAAGGAGAGATATAACCACGATCAAATTGCATTCCTTCTACCACATAAAGGCTGTTCTCAGCGCTTTTTCCTTCCTCAAGAGTGACAACACCCTTACGACCAACTTTTGCCATTGCTTCCGCAATCATATTGCCTACTTCGTAATTGTTTCCTGCACTAACCGCTGCAACATCTGCAAGTTCACTGTCTTCGACCTGCAACCCAGGACAGAGCTTTAATCATGAATCCTCTTAAGCAATAAGCACATGACTAGAGCTATGATTAAAAATCTAATTAAGTCAACAATACCTCCTTTGACATTTTCTTCAACTCAGCAACAAGAGCCTTGGTGGTTTTCTCGATTCCTCTGGTAATCAAAACCGGATTTGCACCAGCAGCCACCACCTGCATAATTCAATTCACATCATATCACAACAACAAAACACTGTTTGTTTCAATTGACATAGAAAGACCATAAATTACAAACCTTTACACCTTCAGCGATGAGACCTTGCGCAAGAACAACAGAAGTCGTAGTTCCATCACCAGCTAAGTCATTAGTCTTGGAAGCAGCTTGTCTCACTAGCTTAGCACCAATGTTCTCAACTGGATCATCAAGCTCAACCTAACAAAAAACCATAACTTTCAAATCTAAAATGTGATTTTCACACCAGATTACACATTAAACACAATAAGAGACAACACCGTTACCTCTCTAGCGACTGTAACACCGTCATTTACGATTCTAGGGGAACCGTATTTGCTCTCCAAAACAACATTCCTGCCTTTAGGACCTAAAGTAACCCCAACTAAATCCGCAAGTTTATTCACACCAGCCTACACAATGATATGATATGTTACTCAACAGAGAACTAGAAGTTCACAAAATCATTGAAAATCGAATAAACACATCATTGGACTCACTTGAAGCTTCTTAATCGCAGTCCCGTCCTTATTGAAATGCAATTGCTTAGCCGCATAGATTTTAGGAAACCTTGCTTTCCTCTGAGCAAAAGTCTGACTCTTTCCAAAAGAGCTTGATGAGATCGAAACAAAAGATGACAATCGATTCGAAGGAGGAGCCAAACATGAACCCATTGAAGACGTTGCGCTAAAAGTTGATGCCATAGTTTCACTCTCTGCAAAAATCACATCAAAATCAAAACTTTATTGCTTCAATGAATCTTAGAAACCCTAACGGCACAAATAAAAATCAAAACTTTGTAATCATCGACACAAATCAAAACAAGTGTATCTGAAAGCAAACAACTTTTTACCTAAACTTCAACGAAATGATTGAACTTTACACTTACTGAGAAAAGCGATCAAGAGATGGATCAAGGGTTTTAGCGACTGCGAGAGGTTTGGTTTTCTTGTGAAGAAGAAATTCGATTTATGCTATTGTAAAGTTATGATTTTTATTTAATTTATTCGATACAAAGTGTATTTGGTTGCATAGCGCAAAACGAACTGGTGAAGTTCTCTTCAAGGTTTCAGGTTAAATCTGAGCCGTTGGATCAGTTGAATTTGGAAGTATCTAGAACACTTAAACCCTAAACCCACCTACTCTCTACTCTCTTCACGTGCGAGTGAGTGAAGGTTTCTTGCAACACTTTGATCAACATTGATTGACACGTGTAGTTGAATTCAAAACGACCTCGTTTCGCTTGTCATATATGAACAGAGACTGCTCTGTTTTGATAACAGAGTCATAAGGAATTGAGGACCAAAACATTGATTAGGTTTTAGGAACTTACACGAGTACAAACTCTAGCTTCTCTATAAACTTTACCTAGTCGACAAAAGTAACCTTTGCTAGGAGCACAATGAGTATCATCAGAACAAATACATAGTCCTCCCTCCAATGCACATCCTTGTTTCACAATTGTCACGTTTCCTTTTATTCTTAGAATATGATCGGTCCTGTTAACGATCTCTTGAACATCGGTTGCAATTCGAAAGTTACTTGAGAGATAACCCCAAGAACGCCTAGAGAAACTTTGGCTGCGTGAAATTCCTCGGGATCTATAGTCTCGCTAAGAAACCGAACCTTTACATACCCATCAGAAGCCAAACCAGGAGTCACCATTCTTATCTCGGTCACGTTATCATGAACCGCAAGCCCGCACTTCCTTTACCCCACAAGGAACTTCCGTGAGCACCTGTGCCCATCATTCCTCCAACCGTAAGGCCCCACCAATACGGTGCCTGTGGCAACTTAACTGTTTCTTCGATCAGCTCCTTAGAGTCACACCGCTCTCAACCGTCAAAGTCTTGGCTTCCGGGTTGATTTTCACCACATGGTTTAGTTGGTGCTAATGAGAATCCCGTCTTTGCCATCAGTGCAAACCAGCTTCGGGAAGCTGTGAGAGTACCGAGTCACGACCCGCATTTTTTGGCCGGCTCTAGTGGCTGCAGCCACTACAGAGACCAGATCAGCCTCGGTCCTTGGGTACTCCACCTTTGCTGCTTCTTTGCATATAGAGCGTCAGGAAAGGCCCCTACGAGTTTGTAACCGTGCACATTGTGTTTCCGAATTCACACTTGACAGGATCATCCGGTGGAGATGAGGAAGCAAATGTGAAAATGCAAAAGATCAAACTTAGCCAAATTGCCCATTTTGTAAGTTTACAAAATTAATTGAAATGTTTGGGCTCATTAATCTATAAGTTTCGATATATCATAACATCATGTGATCCACATGGTTTATTAGAATAAGAAATTAAATCAAATTGTTAGACCAAAAAAAAAAAATTCATTAAATAAGGTCTCAGAGGACAACAATTTATGTGGATAGAAGACATTGCTGTATTATTGGGGCATGTAGGGGTGTGATTACATCACATAGTTACTGACTTGCTCAATATAAAAATATATGAGATTTGGCTTACTATAAACATTTTTCTAGTAACATATCTAGTTGTTGACCAAAAAAAAGAGTAACGTATCTAATTTCCATATATACAATTCTCTTTAGTCAATATTGTTACTAAATTCTTTATATCAAAGGATTCTGGATTGATCTACTGCCATAATAAGAAAAATGTGATCGTGTTCTCAATTCTGTATTTAATATACCGTATATATTTGTATGCATACATTAGATGCGTAAAAGTGAGAAGAAGAAAATTTTTTTAAGAATCAGAATGAAAGAACAGATCTTTTACCAGTTTCTAGTCGTAATCATGTTGTTGTCATCATCTCAAATTCAGGGGGAGAGATGTGATGATTCAGGCATAGAATTTCTGAGGGGATGTCCAGATTCTATCGACAAGGAGCTGCCAACTCCACCAAGACCATCCCAAGATTGTTGCACTCTTGTCCGAATCATCGGGATGAAATGCATATGCGAAGTCATCAATAAGAGAATCGAAGCCGTCATTGATATGCAAAAGCTAGTCAATGTCGCGGCTGCTTGTGGCAGCCCTCTTGCTCCTGGTTCACATTGCGGAAGTAAGTCCCTACCCACTTTTTTTTTTTTTCCGGTCAATATAATTCGGTTTGCAATTGTTTTTGTTGGATTTTACAAATTTAATAAATTCATTTCTTCATTTAATTAGTTATAAGTTTTAGGTTATGGTATCTTAATTATACATTTCATTTGTTTGTGATTTTTTCACAGGCTACCTAGTTCCCGGTGGCATGGTGAGACATCATCACGGGTAATTTGAAGACCGCCCCTATTCTCTATCTTATTGAACTTGCCTAGTTTGTATGGCTTCTAGAAATAAATAATTCCAATTCAATATTGCTACGTACAATAATATGTTTTTTTTTTTTTTTTGTTCAAAGCGTACAATATGTTTCCAAAAACACATATTTGGCAAATCAAATTAGATTTTAAAATATTAATGGAGAAAAATACCTGTATGTTACAAATTCTAATTAGGTATGCATTTTACCGGTTATTAAATGTGAGAGATGGAAGACCAAACAACAAATCCAAGGAAATGTGAGTAGGATTGTGGCGATGAGCCAAATTTGGTGGTTCAAATTAGCTCAATACTAATCCTTAAAATAACCATAATCGTATTTGAAGCTATTGGCAACAATTAATTTCGTAGGATTTTTATTTCATTAGTTTAGATGTAATCACTCTTAATAAGCGCTTACAAGAGTACAAACCCTAGCTTCTCTATAAACTTTACCAGGTCGACACATATAACCTTTGTTTGGAGCACAATGAGAATCCTCCGAACAAATACAAAGCCCTTCCAATGCACATCCTTGTTTCACAATCGTCACGTTTCCTTTTAAACCTAGAATCTGATCGGTCCATTCTGTAGAAAACAATCGGGACGGATCTAATCTATCCTTGACTTTCAAAAACGCGTTTGCGTTCTTGTACTTTCTAATGGCACCATCAAATGCTAGGTTCCTGTTTTTCCCCCAATGAGGCAACGCGTTGTATTTCAGTATTGCCATTTGCTCGATCTCTTCCATGTAATCCTCGTAGAGACGTGGTGTCAAAGGATCATCTTTGCTTCTGTAGTAAGTTAGGTCAAAGTCTAAACTTTTTTCTTCTTTCCCTAGATAAGCAGGAGAGGATGTGACATAACGGATTAGAACACCATAGTTGAGTTCAAGGCCGCAGAGAGATTTTGGTTCAATCTTCACAAGTGCTTTGATGTCGTTGATGAAATCTTTGACATGTGTGAGAGGAACACTTAATGCTGTTTGGTAGAAAAACTCGCCTCTAATGCGTGGATCCCAAGGACAAGATGTAATCAATCCGTTCCGATGACTGTCTAGACATGCACCGGACGACATCATTCGGTCTTGGCTTCCGATAACGGGATAGCCTGTGAATATAACGCCTGCAGTGGAATTTTACACTTTTACCGTGATTCGACATGTTATAAATTAAAAAATCTTATATGGAAACAATCAAGAGATATTACCATTATTGGTCACACCGTATGAGATGACAAACAAAAATGATGCTAGTCGCTTTGCTCTCACACACTTCTTGTTTGCCTCACCCGACGACTCCTCATTCTCCTCTTCATTTCATATTATGAACCAAAGTTGACATAAGAATTAAGAAATACTATAACTATATATATATATATATATATATCTTGACAAATGAAGAAATGAACCTATGGATCTGCTGATGGCTACAGCCACAGAGAGTTGTGAACGGAATGGGAAAAAATTGAACAAGCCATTGCCTGAAACGTTGGCAGGAACGCGATCATCAATTCGATACACCACTTTGCCTTGGCTTGGTAACCATAGGAAATCCGCAAACTCATGTTTTTCCCCGAAAGTCACGGCTTGATCTCCGAAATCCGTATCATTTTTCATCTCATACGTTAACGATCTCTTGAACATCGGTTGCAGCTTGAAAGTTACCTTCCCAAGTATACGATGAACAATAGAAAACGTTAGAACTTAATAAGAAGTTTCGAGTTTCTTTATGAAAAAGGTTTTAAAACGAGCCAGGTTTTAAACCAAGTCTGTCCATTTTGGATAGATTATATGATCATCCATATCCAAATGACCCTACCTGTCTTTATATTCGGTGTATTAACTATTCGTTTAAAATTTATCATATTCGAACGAGTACATAGACGTGTTCGAAGTGGGACTGCATATATGACTACTCTGTTTTGGATTATTCAAAATTTGGAAATCATTAAAATTTTATATAAAATATGCAAAATCACTTAAAATATCCCAAGAACGCCTAAAGAAATATATAAACGATTAGAGTAATTCGTAAGTGATCTATGTATTACCTGAGAGATAACACCAAGAACGCCTAAAGAAACTTTGGCTGCATTAAATTCTTCAGGATTCATAACCTCACTAAGATCCCGAACTTTCACATACCCTTCAGAAACCGAACCGGGACTCACCATTCTTATCTCGGTCACGTAATCATGAACCGCACTTCCTTTACCCCACAATGAACTTCCGTGAGCACCTGTCCCCATCATTCCTCCAACAGTAAGTCCCCACCAATAAGGTGCGTATGGCAAAGCTAGCTCCAACTTAGCCGCTTCTTCGATCAACTGCCTTAGCGTCACGCCGCTCTCAACCGTCAAAGTCTTGGCATCCGGGTTGGTTCGCACCACGTGGTCTAGAAACTTGGTGCTTATGAGAATCCCGTCTTTGCCATCAGTGCAAACCAACTTTGGGATGCTATGAGAGTACCGAGTCACGACCCGCATTTTTTGACCGGCTTTAGTTGCTGCAGCAACCACAGAGACCAGCTCAGCCTCGGTCTTTGGGTACTCCACCTTTGCTGCTTCACATAAAGAACGGTCGGGAAAGGCTCCGTACGAGTTCATCACCGTGCATACTGTGTTTCCGGACTCGCACTTGACAGGATCATGGGGAGGAGTCGAGGAAGCAAATGTGAAAAAACAAAAGATCAAACTGAGCCAAAAAGCCATTTCGTGAGAAACTTTTCTAAAATAATTGCAAGGGAAATGTTTTGAGCTAGCATCCTCTCATTTATATATTTCATTGAGTTTCAATATATCAACATCGAGTATTATTAAAAATATATTAAAAGCGACCTCTAATTTGAGCTTTTGTGGTATATGATATGTAACAGTATAGTCACATGATATTATTAAATAGATATTAAGAGCGACATGTAATTTGATGTTTTGTGGTATATGTTAAATAATATCACATTCTCAAAATAATTCACAAAGACCAAAGAGATCAAATCATTAAATAGAATTCAGGGAACAACTTATGTGGACACTGGTCCTAGCTATATTATTAGGGCTTTTAGGGGGTAATTACATCACATATTTACTCTTTAATTAGAAAGTGATATGGTGAATTGAAGAAATTTGACTTACCATATATAGATATCTCAGCTAAGCCTTAAACAACTTTTTATATTATTATGAACCTTTTGTAGACCTTTATTAGGAACCATACTTAGGTTGACCCCTGGGGTGAACCTTTAAATTCACCCAACAGATTATAGCCAATCGTTTTGCCATGTCATTACTAATACTAGAGAATTAAAAAAAAAAACACAATTAAAAAAAAGGAAATCAGAAAA